AAAGAGCAAAGAAATTCGGCTTCTGAGAGGGCTGGGATTGAACTTCGGGTCGTTCAGTGTGGGACCTAGCGGCGCCCACCAGTCCCCGTCCCCGTGCGCCCTAGGCGGACCATCGCGGGTCCGATCCCGCAAATCGCCAGTTCCGCGTAGGAAGGGAATTTCTTTGCTTTTTTGCTTTTGGTTTTGGCTAGCTTTTATATGGGCCCTCTATTTACTTATGTTGACAAAGAAGTTTTCTTATACATTTTGAGATGGTTTCTCTCGATTCAGCAAGCTAATTTTTCGACATGATGGAAAACTGGCTGCATCCTAAAAGACACCATTCGATGCAGACTTTTTGCGCATCTTTGATATAACTTTCAGCTTACAGCAAACTTTCCATCATGACGAGAACCGGAAAAGCTGTTTTGACTACGCGGATATTCCTATGTTCCTGTCATTTTCGTGCTTTGCAATGTATTACAAAAATGATCAGCGCCTCAAATTAGGTATTGTCCCGAGGTTTCATGCAGTTCGGCCCAGTGAGCTCGAGATAGTTTTTCAGGGTAGGCAACCCAACGATTTAAGCCCCCAAATTAAACTTTTAAACTTTCAAAACTATGCAGCCCTACTAATTCGACCATGCTCTTTCACATGGCGTCGAAAAAAACGGGGTCGAAAAAACTGTACCAAGCCATAATGGGGACTGTTCGAGTGACCGCGGACGGCCCTTTTAAGGTCATTGGGGACGTGATTGGTGCACCGATTTTTAGCCATTCTTCGAACTTCGAACGAACTTGCTCTTATTCAGCTCCCTTGGCCGCCCTCGTCCCCGCCCTGATCGGACCAGTCGTTGCGGGCCTAAAGACGGTGGCCGTGGCCGCTGCTCCCTTTCTGGCGAAGGCCGTCGCCATTGTGCCCTGGCTTGCGACAGCGGCCCGATTTCTGACCACGATCGGAAGTCGCGCGCTCAATCTGGCCAGAAGTTCGAGGCTTGTTCGAGGCCTCTGGAAGATTGGCAAAGACCTGCTGCCGGATCTCTTCAGTGGAGGTTCCCCGTCGTACAGCGAGGATGACTTTAAGAACCCGATGACCGTCTTTAGGGTAGGCCCTTTGTCTCTTTTCGATTCCGACTTTTGCTTTCAGACGTTTGCGAGGAAAATGCTTGGCACTTGGCGGCAATTTTGACCCCCGTGGCTGAGGGGATGAAGCCGTTCTACACAGCCGATGTCTCCGCAAAAGGTGCATTGCGCATTTCGATCCTTTCAGTTCTCTCTGATCCTTTCAGAAGGGCGTCTCCCCAGTTCTCGCCGCTACTTCGGCCCTGGCCGAAATTATTCACAATGGGTTGGATCGGCTGAAGGATGACCTGCGCGAGTTGAAGAACATGGTTTCCGAGGAGCTCTCCATTCAGGCTTATACGACTGTAGGTATCTAGGAGCTAAAAGGTGTCCCTCAGATGGACGTTTTTGCGGTTTTCTGCATCTCGCAGGCCTTGGGACCAAACTAAACAAAATCACTCTTTTTTCCGAGTCTTTTTAGGAGGTGCTCCAACCGCTCTTCCCACCTCCAGCAGCGGGATGCTGTTCCTGAATGACTCGCGCGATATCGCCGAGCGTCGGGCCCTGGACGAGAACCGGCAGCTGTGCCTTGACCGCTTTGAAGCGGTGGTGCATGTAAGGAAAATATTTATATTTAAGCCAAAATTAGATTTTTAACTAGTGCAATTACAGGGCGGTATTTTCAGCGATTCGAGCAGCACATCGTGCGCGGGTGCAATATGCCTGGTTCCGAGGGAAAACGGAAAAAGCGAGAGACAGGTCGGGTTCTTTGCGACTCAAAATATCACAAAATTGAAATGATCAAAATGGAGTTAAAAATAGGCAACCAATTATTAATAGATGAGCAGAAAAACTCTAGCGCACAAAATCGCACCCGTCCCGATGCCTCCGATTCAACTGGGGTGATACCGCAGTAAGTTCACACAGAAAAAACAAATAAAATTTTTGTCCGTCGCTAATCTTCGGCTGACAAATAAAAAGCTACGTTTCTCATATTAACCCTAGATGCGCGACAATGACGGTCCTGAAATCGCGAGATTTTTCGAGAAAGCCCTAAACGTCTGGCTCGATTCAATTCGCTCGACGACCGCTTCGATGGTGAGTGATTTTCATGTTTACAATCCCTAGCGTTACTGACAAACAGGCCCGTAGCAGAACCAGCGGAATTTCGGGGGCAAAATTTTGGCGACCTCCCCCCTTCATATAAGTAAAAACTGGTTGAAAACGGTAATAAACAGCGCCATAGCGCGACAAGTCCCCACAACTAAAATCATAAGGGTCCCCCTTATGCAGATTTTCGGACCTCGACCAATTTCGGGGGCAGGGCCGCCTGGGCCCCTGCTGACAAGTGATGCCCAAGCTTCCAAAGCTATTGGCTCATCTACTAAAACATATATTTAGCTAAGCTTGGCCGCAATTTGCTTACTCGCACACCGTGGCCGATGACGCGTTGATCGGGAAAACGCTGGAGAAGCTGCAGGGAGCGATTCAAGTCGATGATGACCGATCTGCATGAGATGCTCGAAAAGGCGATGGTATGATTTTTGCCTTAAAGGTACACTAGAGTCTCGTTGGTTGGGTTACAGGCCGGTAACCGGCCGCGGGATAGCAAACAGGGTTAAGGTAGGCGCTCGCCGCGGAGCAAAACCGAACCCTGACTGCCAGCCTGGGCAGCGCCGCGAACCACTAGGCCAAGGGACGGACGGGAGGGAAGGGAGGCGATAAGAAGGGGCTACCTTTGCCGTTTTCAGGCAAAACAAAAGACTACGACAGCGCGCGTGTTCGCACGCCGTATGCACAGCTTCAACGAGTTGGACACGGCGCCGGAGTGGCTGAACAAGCTGAAGTGGCAATTCGACGATATTGGACCGTACGAGTAAGTGATCTAGCCTTATTTAAAGTGCGACCATCGGTTTGTCGGGTTCAATGATCAAGCAAAAAATGACAAACCCGGCAGGCGTGACTATGGTGTTTCTGAAATCCTCTATTTTTAGTACTGATACCGCCCTACATCGTCGCGGTAAAGGGACGCACGAACCACACCGGCTATTGGGCCAGCCTAGAACGCGAAGTGCCGCTGCAAGAGGACACCAAACTGTGCAAGAGCTTCGTCTGGCGCAACCCGACAAACCGATGGTCGCACGATTGGGATGAGACCGTCCAAAAGACGGTTGAGATGCTGAGTAAGGTTCTAACAGTAAGCTGACGGCTTAACGGGTACAGGGTGTCCCCAAAAAAAGTCGACCCATTTAGCGGTCGGAGAAAGATCTGGAGAATTTTGCACCTTGGAAAGCCCTGAAAACGGCGAGTTTGCATCAAATACCAAAAACCATGTTTTGTTTAAACTAGCTAATTTACAAGCAATTTTTGTAAAATTTTGCCGTTTTTCAGGGTCGTTTGCTAATTTGCATCAAGTTGCTAACGAAAAATGACCGGAGGTTGTCGTTAGTTAGATGCAGAGGCCGTCTTTCAAAACCGTCAAAACCGTCTAAAAAAACGCTATTATAGGCAGAAGCTGTCCAAACCTCCTCCAACCCAGGCACCACCTCAACCTATACCGAACGAAAACCCAGCAGAACGCAAGAAGCGTGCAACGGCTACTGAAACCGAGAAGGCGAACGCCACAGCACCAATGATGCCGCGCGACAACTAAAGAGGAACCGCCCACGGCGCCTCCTACTCCGGTCCCAGAAGAACCTCTGAATTATGATATTCTCCTGAAAGAATTGATCGTGACGTTCCCGAACATTGTCCTCACCTGGGCGCCAAAGGGACGCCGCAACCGCTTGCGGTGATGGAAGCGGGTGGGTCGAAGTAACAGTAACGTATTTTCACATACCTGGATTGATACTTTCGATGCCTAACCGATATAGGATGTCCAAAAACTCCAAAATCGCGGTCCGCGGACGTGTCCGTATTTCACGATTTAGGTATTTATCGACAGCTCTCGGAAAGGCGAATCCAGACGTTTTCTCCAAATTCTAAAATGCTTAATTTATCTTCCCTTACTCTGTTTTTGCAAACCGCTCAAATTTCTGATGGTTTTTCGAGCAAAGCGCTTTTGAATAGCAAGTCAAAATTTTCGCTCTTTTTTTGGTTGCCCAGCAACAACTTTTGAAAAATTATTTGACCAAAGACAGCTTGAATAGCCCTTAACCTGCGTACATTGTGTTTTTTGGGAACAAACGTGTCTCATTACATGAAAAATGGCGCAAATCGAGCAAAATATCCATAATTCAAACAGATTCAAAGAACAGCCGTAATCGCCTTTTCGAGAGAGGATCGAGACTTAAAGGGTAAAAATCCGACTGGCTGATTGAGAATCCTTTCGAAATTTACAAGATGGTGGTTGCGCCCTCCGTATTTCTAATTCCATTTACTTTCAGGGCAAGAAACGCTCGGCAGCTACGACATCTCGGCCCACCAATACCTTTTCGAGCCAGAGAACTCGAACCTAATCTACAGTCTGCTTCTGTTACATCCGGATGCGGAATAAATATTGTTTTGGGGATGAAGTGGCTAGAATTAATAGTAGGATCTACAGGGTGTTCCAATGAAAAACCCCTTCAACTCCGCGGTGGAGGGTCGGAAGGGGAATGGTAGTTACACCATTTGAAAGCCCTTAAAATGGCGAGTTTGTAACGATCTTCAAAACCACGTTTTTATCTAGGCCAGCATTTTACATAGGAATTAAGAACCTTAAGCAGCTGCCTCTTTTCGGAAACCGCTTGTAAAATAGCGGATGGTTTAAAAAACACGATATTGAAGTTTGTTGCAAACGCGTCGTTACAAGGGTTTTCAAATGGTGTAACTAACATATCTTCCGATGTATTTTATTGTAAGACCTTGTAAAGTAATGATAGTGGAGGTACGACGTTGAAGAGAAGCAGGGTTTCAACGTCATTCTCTTTTGCGTGTTACACTAACCGTTATAGTTATAGTAGTTTATTCAAGAATTTATAGTTTGTATTTGTAGTCCTCGTTCAGGATGTAGCTGTTCCCATCGCAATGTTGCCAATCACAGCATGACGTGCACGGGCTATTAAGGCCTCTTTCCACCTGGAAATCGGAATTGCGGGAGGGTCGCGAGGCGTAAAGTGCCTTGTCACCGGTCCACTTGTCATAGTGTAAATGGCAGGCGTCGGTGATGTTTTGCCCGATGAAGAATTCTCCTTCGTAGCCTGAAAAGCGTTAGCTGGAGTGGAGTGATGCTTCCGTCAAGGGTGCGATCAGAAATTTCTGTTGGACAAGATTTTTAGAACTTTTTAGGTCCAGGGGTTTGCAGGGGTTTTGGTTTTTCTCTGGGCGAGCTAGACCCTAGCCGGGGTTAGAGTCTAGTTTACCCCCCAGCCAGCATTTCCTCCCAAGTCATCCGATTATAGTTAGGTATTATAGATTATAGTACCTTAAAATGTTCCCGTCTTCAAATACTCCGTTTCCATATACTTTTTGACGAAAATAAAAATAGAAAAGAACAAAGCTTAAAGGTCTCTGGGACGCTGGGGCACTCTGGGTTGCGGCTGGCTGCAGGGCGCGGACACCGTGGCGGCGTACATAGGCGGGCCGCGTGGGGGACGGGCGCGCTCGGGCAGGTCGTTCCTCTCCTCCGCCCCCAGTTGGTGACCGTGGTATAATGGATAGCGCGCTGGGCTGTCATTCTCACGGTGCGGGTTCGACCCCGCCCGGCGCAATTGCCTTTGCTTTTTCGCCAAAACCATCGTTTTTGAGGCCTTTAAACCAGGATTGGTTTGTATTGGGCGACAGGATTGTCTCCGTCCTAAGCGTCGCAGGGCCACCCCGTTGCCGTGTCCCCTCAGTACTATATTTGCGCGGCAACAATAAATTGCTTCTAAAATTGTTATTTGTTATTTTCCTCCTAAAAATTATATGGAAATGGAACATTTTGAGATACTTCACGCATCAATGGCACCACTTGGGGGCGAATAAAACATAGACTTTAGCCCAAGCCGTTTTTGGGATGGCCTCGGTACTTTATACTTACGCCTGACATCCCCGTCGTACTGGTCGTCAATCCTGATGCAACGAATGCGGAAGGCCTGAAATTGAGAAGTTTCTGGTTCGTTAACAGGGGGTTACTTTTTTAGTGGCTAGCTTCTGCCATCTTTTGATTACAATCATTTCCATGTCATTGCAAAACCTTATAAGGCGGCATTTTTTTACTGATAATTGGGTAGCCAGATGCAGCCGCAACGCATGTTCTCTAGTCCCTGTTTCGAACGGAAAACGCGTTAATTTCAAAATTACGACGTTACCAGCGCCCAAAACCCGCTTCGCGGACCTTGGGCGTGGAATGCGGCCCTTTCTCATGAGAATTGACTTCCCGATAGCTCGGGTCCACGCCGGAATTATATAAGGTGGGATTTCTGGAATCATCATGCAATTTGGATGATGCTAGTCGTTTTAATGATGAAAATTGACCAGAGAATAACCGAGATCGATTGATTGGATGCCTTACGACATTTAATCGCCGCGCACTCAAAATTCCTTATCGCCCCGAGGACATTTCGGTTTTTTCGCAATGAAACCAATTTTCTGGCACCTATCGCGGCAATCCTTTCGTTTTTGACCAGTAGTTTCAAGTCCCGAACACGCGAATTTTGGCTTCCGAGCCCTTTAATTACGAAAAGGCCCAGGCTGGCTCCAGCCTCAGACGATTGCCAATAAGTTTGGTCAGGACGCCCTGAAAACCATACGTCAGGGCAGCTGCGGCGTCTGGGTGTAGATTTTGAGGTAAAGCCGGGACGCTGCCCAGATACGCTCCTGGCCTGTGCTGTTGATCATGCAGGGGAGTGCCTAGGAGTTTCATTTTGACCCCATTAGATAGAGCTTAACCCAACAAACAAAAACGCGAAAAAATTTTTAAACCAGGAATTGCACCTGGGTGGAAAAACTCCAACAAATTGACTGGATTTTAACTTTTCTCGCGAATCCTCGAAATTCTCGAAAATCCACCTTGAACGTTCTAAACGCCAGCGCAACGCAAAAATGTTTAAAAGGTACCGTGCGGTGCCCGTTAACTTACTGTCGCCGTACATGCTGCCATCACAGAGAGCATACTGATCATTCTTGGCGAGGTCGATTTCCATCAAAGCCACGCGATACTTGTCATCGCCCTGAAAGCGTGCGCATCGATCTCAAATCCCATCACCCGCCCACTCTAGGTATCAATTTTTAAGATTCGATTAACAAACGAAGGCTTTCAAAAATGCGAGTCCAGCACCTCGCTCCGATTTGCCAAGTTTCGAAATTTTCCTCGATTTTCGGATTGTTCATGCAAAAGGATACCTTTTTTGTCAAACACTCAATTTAACCGGACAGGCTCTATCCAAGCTGTATTCGCAAGCGGCTTTCAAAAAGCTGTCGCCGAGTTGCCAGGAAAGCGTAATAATCCTTAGGCTGTGATTTTAGTAAAAAACCCTGTGGTCAGAAAAACATGACAAGATCATCCCCTTTCGCAAAAATATTGGAACCTTTTGAAAAATGTCAAAAGTTTAAGAATCGGAGAGATGTGCTGGAGTCGCCTTTCCGAGCTTTCCGAGAGCTTTCGATAGATACGTAAATCGTAAAAATGGAGCTATGTCTAAACTCTAGATGACCTCTCGGCCGTAAAGAATCAACCTATCTCGGCTACCCTTTAGCCTCCAGTACTGCAAAGTATACCAACATATTAGGCAGGTCAACCCGAGCATTTTGGTATACTTTACGACCCGGTGGCACTATAGGGAGCGGAGATACAAAAGTTTGAATCCGGAGTCTGATGTTACCCACAGGCAGGCACTTACCGCAACGACTTGATGCCCTGGCGAGCAGCTGCCCTTCCGGATGAGGATGTCGGTCTTGATGCCGGCAAAGACCAACGCCACCAGGGCCGACGAGGCGAAGACGATCAACAGCTGGGAACCCATTTTTCGGATCGGCTGCTGTTTCGCCGATTTGGGTCTCGTTTCATACCTCCCAGGGTTGGGGTTTTGTGAACCCATAAAGCTTGGGAAGCGGATTCAATTTTTTTCATCCCTTAGATTCATGGCCATTTTTGTGTGCAACAAATCATGGAACGGATCGGGAATTTTTTCTCTAAATTTCGCTGCAAATGGGGCGGCAAATTTTTATTTATCGGGTTTTGGTTTATCTTTTTCTTGGAATTTTTCATTCAAAATTCGGTCAGCGACCAGTTTTTATCGTTTTCGAATTGTCGGTTTAATTCCATGAACGCTGATCCGCGGTTTATTTAAAAAACGGTACGCTTATACTGACGCCTTTCCTTCCGAAAGGCCTCGGAAACATTAAAGAACAAATTCAGCAAAATTTCATACCAATAAAGCTTGAGAGATTTTTTGCGTCGATTTTTTTAGATGGGCGATTAAATCGATTTACACCTGAGAAAATTCGAAATAGATCAAAAATGCGTCTGGCCTTTGAATTTCGAATTGTTCGCCGAATCGCTTATTTGACCTCTTAGTTCAGTAGCGGCCTCCATATTACACGATCTCTCTTTCTCTCTCTCTCTCTCGCTCTCTCTCTCTCTCTCTATCTCTTTCTCTCTCTGTCTCTCCGTCTCTCTCGCTCGCTCTCTTTTGAAGAACTCGCTCAAAATTAAGATGTGGTTCCTTCTACTTGGGTTGCTTTGGGGTCAGCTAGGCCCGAGACGTTCGCACATATCAGGGCCACGGCCCAGTACGGTGAAGGGTATAGTGGCACTGGTGAGGTATGCTAAATAACACCGAAAAAAACCATTCGCCACTGAATATACTTTCCAGAACGACGAGTCGGGACTCTGGCTGAAAGAAAAGAATTTGCTTCAGGATGACATTTTTGGGGCATGCGGGCAGAAGATTTGGCATCCCGAACGTGTCAGGGAAGTCTGGCGATCGTTCACTCATTTACTCCCTCTCTCTCTCTCTCTCTCACTCTCTCTCTCTCTTCCTCGCTTTTATTATCTTTCATTTCAGTGAAGCCCAGGCTCCGATTTGCGAGATCAAGTCGAATAGTGAGGAGCCTTGGCCCTGGCATCACGATACGTATCTGAGAATCCGTCGTACTACCAGGGATGTCCATGTAAGTTCGGGCTAAAATGGGTGTTGTACGAAGACTTACTCAGTATTAAAAACCAGAATTTTAGCATGACCTATGCCTTGACCTGCCGCAAGAACGAGGGGAATCTACGAGTAGGTTTTACTTGTTATTTTTTTTATCCATGTTCAGGTATCATCCACGAGCGTTTTCAGGCTGGAACATGACGCTGACGTTCACACTTGAGGGTTGTACCATCGGCTGGACGAGGCAGGTCAATGGCGGCCAGACCACGAAACAGCTGAAGGACTGTGGCAGATGCGACCGCAAATGAGATAAATATTTTAATGAAAAGGCGAGGAGAAACATTCCTGCTCTGAATTCCGACCACTTCACCAAGATATTCACTAAAAAACCATTTCTCCGAATAACTCTCCGAATTGTTCATCGAAAACGATCCAGCCGAAAATCCAATCTAATCTGCACAGTTTGCCCGTTGTTCTGCTGTTTGGCTGTTTTCCAACACAACTGCAACACACTTTTTACCGGGACCCAAACTACAAGGTGTCCCAACCCCCCCGGCATTTGACCGTCTTCTATCCGATCGCCGCCAAATTTTTACCAGCGATGGGGACCAATAAAAACTGTGTGCAACCGAATTTTCTAAGCAAAATATTCCAAAACAAAAAAGTTATATCGAAGTTAAGGATTATTTTGCCGATTCTACTAGGATTTTGACGGATTTTGGCCTCGAAATGTTTAGCAAAAATGAAGTGTGCACTTTTTTCCACCCGTGGAAATTTTTGATTGACAAAAATTACGTCGAAATTAGCCTTTTGATCACTTTTTATTATCTGCATATGATATGAAACTGCAATTCAGCACACTGGGAAACAAAATCGGAATCAGCGCAAAGTTCTGCACAAGTTAGCTTTGGTCCTGCTCAAAACTGGGACGATCTATGATCTGAAATAACTTTTAGAAGTAATGATTTTAGAAGTAATGACTTTTAGAAGTAATGACTTTTAGAAATAATGATTTTAGAAGTAATGACTTTTAGAAGTAATGACTTTTAGAAATAATGATTTTAGAAGTAATGACTTTTAGAAGTAATGACTTTAGAAATAATGATTTTAGAAGTAATGACTTTTTAAGTAATGACTTTTAGAAATAGATTTTAGAAATATGACTTTTTAGGCAATGCTTTTTAGGAGTGTGATGGGTAGCCCCGCACCCCATCCAAAAGCGGCGATTTTGGGACATGTACTCAAAATCGACATGCTAATTACGAAAACATAGTGAAAAACGCGTACCAGCGTACTCAAAAGTCAGTTTTTCATCGATATCTTTCTGGTTGTAATATTTTGCTTCTAAAAATTCGGCTGCACTCGTTTATCTCGTTCCCCATCGCTGGTAAAAATTTGGTCCCCGTCCGATAGTAAGACAGGCCAAATCCAGGGGGTTTTGGACTCCCTGTGTATGCTATTTGGAATGGTTGGCACCATCAAAAAAAGATGGTAACTTCTTGAAACTGCAATTCGGCACATGTGGAAAACAGAATCAAAATCAGCGCAAAATTCTGCACAAGTTAGCTTTGGTCTTGCTCAAAACTGGGACGATCTATGATCCGAAATAGCTCTTTTAACCATTTTCCACCCGCGTCAAAAACCATCCTTGATCAGGAATCCGTTGGATTGGAAAAAAACAATAGAATGAAATCTTTATTGAAACAAATTTATAATGGAAGGGCTTTAGTGGCGTATGGCATCAGCGAACCGACATATCCACCGTCGCAGTCATTCTCCCATTTGTCATCGCAGCACGAGATGCACTGGCGCACTTGACCCTTGGCCCAGTTCGACCCGTCAAATTTGTCGTGGTGGAAGGCGCATTTATGGTCGCCGACCTTCAGCGATCCGACGTAGTCTCAAAATCGATAAACATTCTCTGGCTGAAAACGCTTAGGTTCTCGTTTGTAAGCGAGAGGGAGGATTTTTGACTAAGGAAACCAAATTTTTATTGTTTACTTTTTTCCTATAATAAAATATAGAGTATTTTAATTTTCATAGAGCACTCACTTTTAAATTTAAAAAACAACTATCAAAAAACCGAAAATTTATGAATTTTGTTTGACGTTCTGGTCAAAAATGGATGAAAAGTGATCAAAAAAGTTAAAATATTCGTTTTTCAAAATTTTAGAAAATGTTTTATAACTTTCTAGCAAAACTATGAAAAACACTATAAAAAATACATAATATCTCATCAACAAGTACAGTTGGAAAAATAGAAAGTGGTTTTCTCCCTGCTATAGATCCCCCCCCGCAAATAGTCCAGACCAAACTTTGTTAGCGAAACATACGCCGGACACTGTTCTCTGACTGCTTGTCCAAGCCGATGCATCGGACGGCTTCCTTCTGTAAGACAAGTATTTTCGCATTTCACGAGAAGGTCCAGGTTTTATATTAACATCGAATGCGTTTTTACATTGTCGTAATTATTGCTGAACACTTTCCAAATCTGCATGAAAATTCAAAAAATTCCAAAATTTTCGACTTTTCCGAAGTCTCGATCGCTCGTTTCTTTCACCCTTTCTCGCTCTCTCTCTCGCTCACTCTCTCCCTCTACCCCGCTCTCTCTCTCTCTCTCTCTCGCTCTCTATCCATAACGTCAATAATAAAAATCTAAATTCCCACATCGGGCATCAGGCTGCTCTTGATTCGGATGCGCAGGAAAAAGTCAGTCGATTCCCAGAATTTGCCCGCGTCGTCACCCGCGAGCGCCGTGATTGTGCAGTTTTCATCTACAAAAGGTTTTCCGCAAAGAAACGTAACGTTAAAATCTTAGTACCTCTAATATAACCCATGGATTTTACTTTTTTTTTTCTATTCGCCTCGAGAAGGCAATAAAAAAGCTAAAAAAATGGTTTACTGTAAAGTGTTTTCACATAGGATGGAAATTCCATTTCGGACGAATCCTATCTTGTGGAGAATTTTTCGCTAATTTCGAATCTGTTTTTCAAATCTGCTGTAGAGCCGGCTTTAAAAAGTTACAGCGATTTTTCTACCAAACTCGCCGAAAATAGTCTTGCACGAATTTTGTGCTACAGACTCGTGAGATAGCTCATTCGAAAGAGCATGTTTTTCTACCCCAACCGGTGGTCTGTGTCTATCCAGAAAGTATTCTACACGATTTTTAGAGGGATTTTCGGCTAGTTTGGTAGCAAAAATCGCTGTAACTTTTTAAAGCGGGCTCTTCAGCAGATTTGGAAAACAGATTCGAAATCAGCGAAAAATTTTGCACAAGATAGGCTTGGGCCCGAATGGAATTTCCATCCTATGTGAAAACACTTTACAGTTAGAAAGAGTATGGATTTGGCCGGCCGGGGGAGGGGAAGGTGGCTTATGTTGAAGCAATGCGATAGGTCCAGGCCTGTAAGCAGGCCCGTAGCGGAGGCGGAACTTCGGGGGGGACAAAATTTTGGCGATCTCCCCCCCGGCCAAAAAAAATTATCAGAGAGCGTTTGTTACGATCAAATTGGTGGGAAAACCCCATAAAAAAGCGCCGCAGGCGAAAAATTTTATAGACAATTGATGCACGAATGAAAACCCAGCGCCGCAGACGAAAAACTTTGGAAAAATAGGCTTGCTTGAAGTAAAACCTGCCTAAAAACAATAATAAAGAGCGCCGCAGGCAGAAAAAATTTTATAAAACAAAATCAGAAGGGCCTTATGAACTTTTCGGAACTCGACCGATTTCGGGGGCCCAGGGCCCCCTGCCCCCCTTCCCCCTCCTACGGGCCTGCCTGTCAAGAACGTATCACGAACCAAATCCGTACATGTTGCCCGAGCATCCACCAAAGGGATAACTGCGGCCGAAGGTGTTCCATTCGCGCAGTTCGATACTGTACTTGTCGTCACCCTGAAGACAAGAGATTTTTTTGACGGATGAGCAGTAAAAAAGTTAGTTGGGTTTAAACAACCAACAAACCTGTCCGTTACGATTTTTCGCTACCCCAAATTCGCCAAGGATTTCGGAAAGACTTGAACAGTGTGGGCAGGGAAATGCCGGGATTTTTGATGCGAGATAAGCAAGCGATGAGTATGAAAGCGGATAAAAAGATTAGCGGGGCAAAGAACTCTGGTCCACTCGTGGCATAGCCAGATGCGACCGCAACGCGACCGTGCCGCATGATTCTTTGTCCCTGTTTGGATGTAAAAACGCTTGAATTTAAACATTCTGACGCTACTTCTGGAATCCTCGACGAATTTTGGCCATTCTAGACTTTTAATTATGAAAATTGGCCGCAGCGACACCGAGATTGAGAGATTCGGTGCCTTACAGCTTGTAAGTTGCTTGTAATTTCCCCCGCACCCAATAAGTCGTTCTCTCCCCGAGAACTTTCGGTTTTACTCAAATACTTTGGGTCTTTTGCAACGCAATCACTTTTCTGGGTCTTTTCAGTAACCCCTACGTTTTTTGTTACGTTTTTTGGTGTTTTTACGGTTTTTGTTCAATCCACGCAAGCACAAACAGTGCCTTCCGAGCCCCTGTAAGTATCAAGTAGACCCACCGTTTCGGCTTTGTGGTTAGCGTCTGTGTATGAAGAGTTGAAGAAGACGATTTTCGTCACTAGGGGCACTGCGGCATCGACGGTGCTCAGGGCGCACAGGCCAAGAAAGGCGAGGAGCAGGGCTGATGTCGGCGTCATACCTTAAAGAGTACAGGGTGTTCGAAAAGTTCTGGCAAAATGTTCTGGGGCTTGAAACTCGGAGAAGCCTTGGATGTTCACTAAATTTTTACCCGTTATTCGTAATAGGGTAGAAAACAAGTCCCCAAAACTAAGGTTGAGAAAACCAGCTTGTTAGTTTACCAGAGGCCAAAATTGCTTCGATACAAGCTGACCCCGGCACGCATCAGGGCCAGCCGCAACGTTGGCTCGAACTTTCTAGCAGCATAACGGTTTTGCCATCAAATCAAGATGGTGTGGAACGTAAACCAATGCCCCTGCATAAATTAGTCACAACCACTGGCTCTTTTAATCGCGAGAAAAAAACTGTCAAACTTGAAAAACTTTTGAAACGCCGTCAAAACCTCTTTTAAGGGCTTGATAAAGTAATTTAAAACTGTCTGAAATTCCGTTGGCTAAATCCCCAAATTTTTCCGCGTACTTGTTAAGTAATAGTTAGTAAAATATCGGCAATACCTTGGCAACGCCTAGGGAATTGCTGAAATTCTGCCTAGATCGCTTTGCCAGAACTTTTCGAACACCCTGTACATATCTAATTAAAAAAAGTGCACAAAAAATATAGCAACTAAATTCTCGGAACAGCACCGTTCCAGAAACCGTTCTGCTCCCTTTCTATTTCAAGGCCTTATATACAAAAATGTTTCCCAGACGACCCTCAATTTATTCGCTTTTTTATCGGTAAAAAAAACCTGGAAAACCCATTTTTCAGATTTTTATCGGCTTCTGATTTATGACATTGCATTCGAGATTTATCACCAAAAAATTTTACAAAAAAAGCCGCGGCGATTTTTGGTTTCACAAAAAAACGGATCTGCGGTTTGAAACTGCAAGAATTGCGGTTAAAAAAAGTTAAAAGAAGAGGTTGAATGTTCCACACAAAAATCGAAAAGTTTAAAGCTTGCCGCCGAGTTATACGGCAGACAGCAAATTACGGGGTCGATATTTGGGGTCGACTTTTCGGGACTTCAAAATGCCTTTGATGGTAGTTTTGCTTCGGATTTCCAGTTTTTTTGCAGCTAAAACATGTTATCCTTTCCGGTTCGTTACAAAAATAATTTTTAGGGAATGAAGATCATCTTCAGTCTCCTGGCCCTCGGGCTCCTGAGCGTCGTCTGGGGCTCCAAGATGAAAGTCGTGTTCACGAGAGCGACTTATAGTGATGGGCATACGGTGGTTCCGGTGAGGAGTTTGTCCAAATATTTTTCGAATTTTTGTGCTTTTTAAGGGGATAAGAATCGCAAATTTCGACTCCACCTTTCGACTAGGTGTCGACAAACCCAAAGATGCTTAAAAACGAGTTCCATGTTTTTTTGCAGCTTTACTTGCTCTGAAATCATAATAAATGTGGTCAGCTAGTTTCTAGACTACGTAGTCAGGCTTAGTCCTTGGCGCTCGAGACCCTAAACATTTAAAAGGGGGTGAGCAGTAGGGTTGTTTCTCGGAACAGACCGAGATTCGGAACTTTCGGAACAAAGACTGGTCGGAACGTTCCGAGATTCGCGTGTTCCGGCTGTTCCGAGATTCGGAACATTCCGAGATTCAAATGTTGCGGTTGTTCCGAGATTCATAGTGTTCCGACTGTTCCGAGATTCGGAACGTTCCGAGATTTGACTGTTCCGACTGTTCCGACATTCGGAACAGTCCGAGATTGAGCTGTTCCGAGATTCAAATTTTTTCGCATGTAAATTTCGATTTCGTGTAAATTGTGTAGATCGCATGTAACTGTTTCGATTTTGCCGTGACAGGCAGTATGGGCACAACTGAACACCTAATTCCGTCGATGGTTAGATATTGAATCTGGAAATTAAGGAAATGAGAACGAATTGGGGATCGAATCGAATCGAAATTCAGTCGTGTTTGGAAATTTACATGCGAAAAAATTTGAATCTCGGAACAGCTCAATCTCGGACTGTTCCGAATGTCGGAACAGTCGGAACAGTCAAATCTCGGAACGTTCCGAATCTCGGAACAGTCGGAACACTATGAATCTCGGAACAACCGCATCATTTGAATCTCGGACTGTTCCGAATCTCGGAACAGCCGGAACACGCGAATCTCGGACCGTTCCGACATTCGGAACAGTCGGAACGGTTGCTGTTCCGAATGTTCCGAATCTCGGCCTGTTCCGAGAAACAACCCTAGTGAGCAGCTAAATCACCAGATCGCCCCATAGCCGACTGTTTCTACTGTTTCTCCTTACCTTAAAGACCGTCAGAACGATGAAATATCGTTCAGAGCAAGAAAGTTGCGCACCGGGAGGGGTATCGAACCCGCGATCGTTCGCTCCACAGTCCGACGCGCCAGCCACTATACCACAGGGCCAAGTGCGGAAGGGAGTCAGAGGCGCCCCAAACCCCAGAGGGGTTTTGCCCAATACGGGACACCACTAATGACGACCCGCCCTGCGCGTTCTTCGGGGCAGCACCCTCGGGGTGACAGTGCGCGTTCCATCGTTCTGGTAGTCTTTAAGGCCCGGTGGCCACTGGAGAGACGAGATACTTTAGACGTTGGGGCGACTTACGGGGGGGATCCTGCAAACTTACAGGAATCCACCTTTTAACCACCATTTAATCTACCACCTTTTAACCAAAGGAATCCAACTTCGTATTTTCGAAGCGCAATATTTAGCTGTAGCAGCCTGGTTTGGACTAATAAATCTGCGATTTAAGCTACGATGAGGAGCAATTTAGGGCGACGACAAATACCGTATGCAACTGAAGGAAGTCGACGATTTCACACCTAACGATCTCTACGGGGAGTGCCGTGGCGAGATGTATACTAGTGGTATCTAGTTTTCTTATTTTCATAGCGCATGCGTAGTGTTGTATCTGTTTGTATTACCATTACACAAACTCCCAAAATTTCCCCATGAATCCCTCCTCTTTCAGGCAAAAACTGTACGATCCAGACCGATAAAAATGATGGGGATGCCACGAGGTTTTACCTGAAAATCTATACCAACACCGAGGCGCTGACCGGGGTATCAAAAACAAGGTTTCGAAAATGAAAAAAAACTACCTTAGCCCCACCAAATCCAATGCCTTTCGCTGGACCAGACGGATAAAGTCTCGATCAGGGGTAGGTTTAAAGGGACTGTAAAGCCAGGAAACAGTTTTTCACACGTAATTTTGTATCTTTGAATAACAATTTTCATATCGTTAAAAACTATTTCAGACTTGTAAAGGTACCTGGAAGGCTCATCGACCCTTACTTTCGGCTAGGTCTCGACATTTACGTTCCAGGCTAGAAATGTGACGCAATCCCTTTGTTGGCACGGATTAGGAAATGCAAAAAGATACTTTCTTAAGTATCCCGGAGTTGTCGAGACCTAGCGACAGAAAGAGTCGACTTCGAGACTTCGTGGACCATTTAAGAATCCCAAAAATCTTTTTTAGAATACTACGGCGAATTCCAAGTGGTCGGCAACAACACTTGCCACTGGACGTTCCGCAAAAATGATGGTACCACCTGGAGCCAGGGTCGCGGTGACTGCATCTCTTGCTGTGGTTATGAGAGCTGTGATGCTGCTTCGTATATATCGAACGACAAGCCCTACAACAATATTGTCATTTGAATAAAGATGTTGCAGCATTGGGGCTCAAAATGATAGTTTTTAGTGTTTTAGGGCATAATTTAAGGGTAAAGAGGAGAAGCCGGGTTGAGGAAAACTGAAAAGATAAAAATCCACAACAACAACGAATCGGATCGTCATGATTCTGCAGGTAATTCGGATCCCATATGGCAAAAGGCGTACTGGGGATGCCACCACAATTTCTAACAAAGAAGCCATATTTATCAAAAACCCATTTCGGTGCATTACAGGTAGCGCAAGCGCCAAGCGTGAGATTTTGTTACGTAGTTGTATTACGTAGTCAGATACCTCCTTATGGCTTTAATTTTGTCGTGTAAATTACACATATCAATTTTATCCATTCTGCAAACGTCATCGGAGGCAGAAGTGTCGATTCCCAACAGTAACGGAAAATTAGAGCATTTGATGCACGGGAAGGACCTCAAATCCAACTTGGCAACGGATTCTCCAAAATTAATCCAAAATTCCAAAATTCGTTTGAACGTTTTATCTGCCAAAAGCTAGAAGTGAATAAATTGGTGCCACGACATTTGCGGCCGCGACACTTGCGGCCCGACACTTGCGGCTAGGGTTGGGTTTTGGCGCAACCGGTTTCCGATCGATCGCTTTGCATATCCTAAACGATTAAATCGTTGGACGAAAACCGGTTTCCGGCATCGAACCGATTTAAATCGGTTCACCAGGCAAAACCGGTTTTTGCCAGGCTCGGAAATCGGTTCGGGGTAAAAAACCGGTTTTTCACGATTCGGTCCCGGAAGTGAAACCGGTCTTTATTTAAATAATATTAATTCTAATCAACTCAGATAGCGTGATTGCTACTTGCTTGTTCGGGCTTTACCAGTCGTTTACGATTGTCTTTTTGGTCACAGTTCTAGATAGGCAAGGCATTTTCCCGCTTTCACGCGCGGACCCGACTGTTACTGATAGCCTTAGATTGTACTTGATCATTTTGAAGCGCTCCAGGCTCGCACCAGCGTTTAATATGTCGTTCTAATCGTTTGTTTCTGAGACCATACATTGCTAACGAGCTAAGACAGAACTCGATTCCCAAAAATTTATGAAATTTGAGGCTTTACATTACCGCAATTTGAATAATAAGTATGCTGGGGATTTGCATAAAGACCGGTTTCACTTCCGGGACCGAATCGTGAAAAACCGGTTTTTTACCCCGAACCGATTTCCGAGCCTGGCAAAAACCGGTTTTGCCTGGTGAACCGATTTAAATCAGTTCGATGCCGGAAACCGGTTTTCGTCCAACGATTTAATCGTTTAGGATATGCAAAGCGATCGATCGGAAACCGGTTGCGCCAAAACCCAACCCTACTTGAGGCCCAGACAATTGCGGCCCAAAGCTGTAGTTAATCACACGACTGAAGCTTTTAACCGTCCGGAAGGCTAGTTTTCTGAACGGGGTTTGATCGCTTGTCCCCTGGTCTTGACCTAAAAAATAAGACTTCGTGCCACCCGGGGCCTAGTCGCTTCGGATGGGTGCGAGCTCGTACAGGAATTCGATTCCGATTTCGAAAGAGTGGAGCGGCAGCCCATCCGAAGCGACGGCCCGCCTTGCCTGAAAATGCTTTAGACTTATACTAACCCTCTTTTTAATTTTATATTGGGGAAAAACGAGCTTAATAGGGCGGGCCGCAAATGTCGGGCGCAAGTGTCGGGCCGCAAATGTCGGGCCGCAAATGTCGCGTCCGCAAGTGTCGGGCGCAAGTGACGGGCCGCAAATGTCGCGTCCGCAAGTGTCGGGCGCAAGTGACGGGCCGCAAATGTCGCGTCCGCAAGTGTCGGGCGCAAGTGACGGGCCGCAAATGTCGCGTCCGCAAGTGTCGGGCGCAAGTGACGGGCCGCAAATGTCGCGTCCGCAAGTGTCGGGCGCAAGTGACGGGCCGCAAATGTCGCGTCCGCAAGTGTCGGGCGCAAGTGACGGGCCGCAAATGTCGCGTCCGCAAGTGTCGGGCGCAAGTGACGGGCCGCAAATGTCGCGTCCGCAAGTGTCGGGCGCAAGTGACGGGCCGCAAATGTCGCGTCCGCAAGTGTCGGGCGCAAGTGACGGGCCGCAAATGTCGCGTCCGCAAGTGTCGGGCGCAAGTGACGGGCCGCAAATGTCGCGTCCGCAAGTGTCGGGCGCAAGTGACGGGCCGCAAATGTCGCGTCCGCAAGTGTCGGGCGCAAGTGACGGGCCGCAAATGTCGCGTCCGCAAGTGTCGGGCGCAAGTGACGGGCCGCAAATGTCGCGTCCGCAAGTGTCGGGCGCAAGTGACGGGCCGCAAATGTCGCGTCCGCAAGTGTCGGGCGCAAGTGACGGGCCGCAAATGTCGCGTCCGCAAGTGTCGGGCGCAAGTGACGGGCCGCAAATGTCGCGTCCGCAAGTGTCGGGCGCAAGTGACGGGCCGCAAATGTCGCGTCCGCAAGTGTCGGGCGCAAGTGACGGGCCGCAAATGTCGCGTCCGCAAGTGTCGGGCGCAAGTGACGGGCCGCAAATGTCGCGTCCGCAAGTGTCGGGCGCAAGTGACGGGCCGCAAATGTCGCGTCCGCAAGTGTCGGGCGCAAGTGACGGGCCGCAAATGTCGCGTCCGCAAGTGTCGGGCGCAAGTGACGGGCCGCAAATGTCGCGTCCGCAAGTGTCGGGCGCAAGTGACGGGCCGCAAATGTCGCGTCCGCAAGTGTCGGGCGCAAGTGACGGGCCGCAAATGTCGCGTCCGCAAGTGTCGGGCGCAAGTGACGGGCCGCAAATGACGGGCCGCAAATGTCGGGGAGCCAAATAATTTTTAAAAAAACTGTGCAGCCAATGCAGGTCAAATTTAAGAAAATCTGTCCATCATCCTATCCATAGCTTTCCACGACTTTTTGATCCCTTCAATCCACCTTGACCCCCACTTTCCATCTCCCCCAAACTATGCGATAGGTCTTTGGGATGGATAAGGATCTGGTTCAGTCGGCGCGTCACACCCCGCCTCGTTTGTTTTTCCACCCCCAATTCCTTGTCGGGCTAGATGGCTGGAGGGCATGGGGATCGATCCGTCCCATTCCGATGCCCCGATTCGCTACCTTCACCCTACCATTATGCGCATTTTCTATCGTATTATGCCAGAAAATTCCTGAAGTAAATGCCCCTGGCGTTAGCACACGGTTGCCCGAAGCTAAATGTGATTTTCACGTCCGAGAAAATGGGCCGGACGGGAAACTGGTGACAGGTAACTTTTCAGGAAATATTTTCTTGGTAATCCGGTTATTTGATATATCTAGAGATTTTTCTCCATTATTTTTGGGACTTTTGCATTATCGGGGGCAGCGTCACGAATTTTCCAAAAATCCAGAACTGCCTAATAGCTAGCAAATAGGAAATATTAGACTAGTGTTTAACGTGGAATTTAGATATATTTCAAGTGTAAAAATTACAAAAAACTTTATGATACTTTTAAAAATATAAAATTTTTAGCGGTTTTAAGCTAACAGTAAAAACAGGGTATAAACTCTTAGGAAACCATTTATATCAGGAAAAGCTGCGACTATAGGCAAAAAACTGTTTTTCCTCTGTTACCGCTGATAATGCAAAAGAAACCAATTTTTTTGCTATTCCAAAAGGCAAAAACACCACTAATTTTTATTAAAAATAGAGATAAATATTTTTCAAACAATTAGGAGAGAACTTCAGTTACTGTAACTTGCAATGCTACATTTTTTTTACTAACGAGCTTTTGTGACTTTTCCTGTTAAATCGCGCTAATATTTTTATACATTTATCTATTTTATTGCCTTGTTTATTTATTTATTTCATTTTTATACATTTATTTTTATACATTTATACGCTAATATTTATACGGTCCATTTTTTATAGAAAAGCCTCTAGTATATTTTTAGGAGTAAGCCTCGACACCTCCCTCTTCTATGACATCACCTGCAAACCCTCAAAAGGTTTCTGTCTACGTGTGTCTAACTGTACCGTGACCGGGGATGAAAAGGGCTCCGTCCCTTACCCAATTATCGACGCAAATGGATGCACACTGGAGGAGAGCCTGTTTGGGCATGTTCAGGTATGGAAAGTTAAGGTATCTCGGGTGTAGAGGTCTAGCATTAAAGCAAATGAATTATTTTCTGTTCCTTCCTCCTTGATCTAGTCTCTCAGCGTACATAGATGTTCACTTTGAACTAGTACGCTTTGAACTTATGCTTTCGAACAAACAGAATAAAAGAACCTTTGGCGAGAACGAAATAAGTTAGTTAAAAAAGCTCTCCTCAAAACGAAAAGACTACGCGACGCTACGCTACGTTCTCTTTCAGTACCGAACGGACTTCCAAGCCGGCATCGCCAACCCGTATCCTATTCGATTCCGAGGCGCTTCGTCTGCTGTAATTTTCTACTGTCAAACAACGCTTGAACCAAAGGAAGGAACCAAATGTGAACATTTCACGTGTAAATAAAGCTTTAGTGCGTCTAAAAGCTTAATTGGAGCCGTTTTTAAAATGGTCTTTTTAAGTTGATGTAAATAATTAAATTTATCCGATCTCTAAGCTCTATTTGTTCTTGTTATTCTCGGAGAAACAGGCCGGTTGCACGTTGTTCTTGTTTTCCTTGGTGATTAGCATGCGGAAGACCCAGTCTTGGACCTCGGTAGGTACCAGGGAAATTGGGATGTAGAAGAAGATCGAGTCCCAGCCGCAACGGTACCTAGACCATAAAAAATAAGCGAAAAATCAGACGGATTGAATTTTTTATTTTTACATTAAATTTTTTAAAGCATGTGTTCTGCATCTTAGAGTATGTCATGAACCCCACATCTTTAAAAAATTAAGTTAATTGAAGTAAGTTTAAAAAGCATCCAGACAATTGTCTCTTTCCCTTTCTCTCTCTCTCTCTCTCTCTCTCTCTCGCTCTCTCTCTCTCGTTTTCTCTCTCTCTCTCTCTATCTTTCTCTTTCTCGTTTGCAAACCCAATTTTTCGGAATTGCGATCCAATTTTTCGCGCTTCCTCCTACTCTGACCAACCGGCCCAAAATAATGACCAAAAGCGCCGAGTGCTACCGTTTGTACTTTCGCGCCGCTGCGGGTTTCGCCGCCCCGAAATACACCTCAAAAAAATACCAAAAAAGGTTCGAGCCTGTGACCCCAAAAAACGATACCTTTTTCTGGGGTACTGCGCGGTAATGGCATGGAAATAACTGTCGGTCACGTAGCTGAAGTTTGATGAAGCCATACCGTCGAGGGCTTTATTCCAACTGTCGATGGCTAAAAAAGTTGGTATAGGGAGAGAAAGAGAAAGAGGGAGAGAGATAGAGAAAGAGAGTGCGAAAATAGCAGAGGCTTGCGCAACTCACTGAAATCCTTGTACGAATCCCCATATTCCTTCTTCGTCTCGTCGTCAAGTTTGGTCCAGGCCTAAAAACTTGTCTATTATAATTTGTCCGCCATTTGAAGGGTCGATGATTAAATTTTCAACATGAGCAAAGGTATCTAAAAATTCATGCCTTATTAACGCGACTTCTATGCATTTCATGGTCCAGAAGCGGGGTCTTGAAGGCTCCCGGCTCCAGAATTGAGCACTGGACTCCCCAGGGGTAGAGTTCTTGCCTGAAATTCGGTTACTTAGTTGCGGATGCATTAAAAGAAAAAATACTTCAGATAGACAAAATTCCAACACGCCATTGACTTTGAACAAAAATAAAATCAATCCGCCGTTTCACGCAATTTTCTGCACCAAAAGACTTTCTTTTTTAACTTTTTCGGAGTATTTAGAAATTTGGAGTTTCCTCCGGACTTGCTATAAAACTTAAAAACTATAAATCCAATACCTAATCGCATCCATATAAGCTTCGACACCATATTTCGCAACCGCGTAGGCAGCAGTGCCTGGGAAAGCTACTCTTCCAGATACCGATGAGGTAGCGATAATACGGCCCTTTGAGTTCTTGATGTGACGTTTGAAGGCCTAAATATTTTGATGAGGTCGCCACCACAGCGCAAAGTGTGATTAACAAGCTATACTCACGTGAGTAACCCGAATAGCTCCCAGACAATTGACATCGAAGGAGAATTGGAAGTGCTCTGCCGTCATGAAATCATCGGGACCGTAGAGGGTGAAGACGCCGGCGTTCTGGACGAGGGCCCAGAGGACTAAAAGTGCAAATTTAAAGGGGTTTAAAGGGATCGCGCCAGTTTCGTGATCCTGTTGACACTCTCCCTTTCGCCAATTCCAGGACCCTAACGCAGACGACTAGGATTTCAGATGTCAGTAGGCTTTTCATGCAGTTCGGTCGCATTTTTCCGTTGTGTACCACTTACGTAGTAGAAAAACCGATCATAACTTGAACCCACACTCTCCATCCTTCAAATTCGCATCAACAAATTTGACGGCATCAGCAACCGATTCGTCCTTGGTAATGTCCAGCAAGAATGGGCGGAGATTTGAGGAGTTGTCTTCTTTCTTTAGTCGGTCAATGCCCTAAAAATTGTGCCTTCTTATACTCAAAGATAGTTCTTACCCCTTGCGTCAAGCAACCAGCAAAAGTCGGGATTCCGGCATGAGAGCATTGGAGTGCGGTTTTGAAGCCAAACCCGGAATCGCATCCGGTGATTAGGACTGCGCGTTTTTCGAGCTTGTCGATTTTCAGGAGCTCCCAGAACCATCTAATAATTTAATTAATATTTGTATAGCTTTAATCTCAGTTTTCCGGTTTTTCCCGTTTAGAACGAACCTCAATAAATAATAAACAGGAATCAACCAGAGCAGCATGCACGAGCAGACCATTTTGCCCCACACACGCTGCGAACTCCTGCCTGGAAATTTGCAATAAAAATGATGGTGCCCCGGAAAAACCGGAAAATGACGGCTGACCGGCTGGATTTGAAAGCAAAAAGCAGTCGTGAAGAGAGAGAGAGAGAGAGAGAGAGAGAGAGAGAGAGAGAGAGAGAAAGAGGGATAGAGAGAGAGAGAGAGAGAGAGCGCGAGAGAGAGACCGGAAAATAGCTGTCGCCCTTGACCTTGACCAAAATCTATACGGCGAGCACCTAGGATAAAAAGCGCGATAGGCTGATAAAAGTGGAACAACGGCACTTTAAAATTTTCGTATCTTTACATTAGGTTTAATTGAATTCTATACTTTATCCTACGTTTTAATGATCTCTAGTAAAGATTGGATATTTTGAGTACTTTCCAGACAACGCTTTTAAGGGGCCTGGTTTTAGGTGGTAATTTGCATATTTTTAAAAGAAAGGGCAATTGGAAGAAATTGCTCAAAAACAATGTCCGATATATAAATTAGATAAATTAAACTAGTAAAATTAAATAAAAATAAAAATTTAATACTTTTACTTTGCTCCATACAGCTTCGGAAAGACCTGTTTATGCATCTGGACAGAATCTGCAATCAGCAGAAATACGGACAGCGGCGTAAATAGAGCCTTATCTTTGCCCCGTCCTCTCTAGCTCCAATACTAGAAAAGCGGTTGATACCAGCGAAAAGCGATGTGTTCCGTAGTTTTTTGCATTGGGTAGAAAGCACAGGCAAAGCGGGAAACTGCTGAGCAAACAAATACTGGTATTTGGGATTTGAGTTTGCTACTAGGGCCTGCGAAAAAAAAGCTAAAAAGGGGGGAATAAGGCTGGTTGATAGTTTGTAACTGCCCCAAAAATCCAGAGGCAAAATTTTGGGTGCTTTCAAATACAACTTCAGAAATGGTAAACCTGGTATTTCAGAATTGGCGTTTCTTTTGTCCGAATTCGGATTTTCCAGTTTCCGAAGCATTTCATTGCATCATGCATTAACCAAAGGAAAAATTTGGATCAGTTGCAAGTCCAGGATCCACAATTAAATCGACAGCCATGATAGCTATGCCTTGCCTCTTCCCGCAATGCTAGGCCGATTCACGCCACCCCTAATTCGTGAAAAACACGGGCGATAGAATTTTTTCGGCAAGGAGATTCTCTAGTTTTCGAAGCCGATTGAAAGTATGGATCATCCCAAAAATCGCAATGCTAGGTAAGTGTTGTCGGAGGTAGTCATATCAGGCTCGTCTTGCCGCGGGTTTTGCTATCCTTGGCCGACACGCCCATCGCTTTTTTTGTAGTGTTGTAGGCGCGATCTACTCAAGTGGAATGGATGATGCGGGGAATGTGATCTATGCATGGAACGTACAAGGAACGTTTTCTATATCTCGCTCTCTCTCTCTCTCCTCTCTATCGCTCTCTCGCTTGCTCTTTCTCTCTCCCTTTACCTGCTTGAACATTACGTTACTTCTGTATTTTTATTGATTTGATCATAAATATTGGACCAGCCAAACAAGCTTTATTCTGAAATACATTTGCTATGATAAGTTCGTCGGGTTTTGACGTTATCCTCCCGCCGCGTTGATTAGGTCTGTCAGTTCCTGGTTGCAGCCGCAGATTTGGCTCTTGGTCATGCAGGCTACCTGAAGATGGCGAAATACATACGGTCGTCGAAGCCAAATCGAACTAAAATACTAATGAAGCTTACCGTCGACTTGTCCCTGTACGTCTGGTACATGCCCGCGTATTTCGGGACGAACGGGTCGAACAGCTTCTGCATGACGGCCACCTGGGTGCGAGCCTTGCAGGCCTGAAAAGCGATCGAATAACCTATAAGTTTCTACATATTTCTCTCTCTCTTTCTCTCTCTTTCTCTCTCTCTCTCTCTTTCTCTCTCGTAACTCACATTAAAACATGTCTGGACGAGATTCGAGTTCTGAAGATATTGCACACCCATGGCGCACACCTGGTTCTGCATGGCGGTCTTGTCGACCTTCTTGAGCCAGCCCTTGTATTTGGGGCAGAACTGGAAAGAAAAACGTAAATATACAGAAAGAAAAGCTATTACCTGGTTCTTATAAGCCGCTTGAAGACAATCCAGCACTCCACAAATCATCGCGTTACCGATATTCGGCAGGCTGAAGCCGTTCATCTGAATTGAAGGGGTTATTGACGACACGATTGGCCTCTATGGCTTTTTCTCTCTCTCTCTCTCTCTCTCTCTCTCTCTCTCTCTCGCTCTCTCTTCTCACCGCGACTATACCAGCCAGCGAGACCGCATCGAGGGCAATCTTTGTGGCAGTAGCAGGGTTGTACTGTGTGGCGCACTGAACCAATGTGTCGACGTTGTCCGAGGCATAGGTGGTAACGACTGAACACAGGTTATGGTCATTTGATTCTCGACTCACATGTCCCAACTTCGCACATACTCGGAACGGTATTATTCGAGGCTGCGATTCTGCCCTTGATCCAGGCCACACCAGCATCACCCAGGCCTTCGGCGACCTGGAAATGGGGGAGAGTTCTCGTGCCTCGGGGCAAGTTGAAGGCGCGATAGGGCGGGAAAACGGGATGACATGGTGCGTCGAGGCCAATTTAATTACGGGTTTCAGAAATCTTAGAGTTTTGATAATGCTAGATTCAGAATTCAAGCAAGAATCTGCAACCCTTTTTATAAGGTATTTGGTTCGCAGCAACTATGGGAAGTTCCCAGGACTTAGACGCAAAAATTTTTCGGTGGTTTAGCTATGTTTGCATGGCGCGACCACGTTTGGTAAGTTTGGAAAAATCTCGAAAATTGCGTAAATTAGCTTTCACCCCCATTTATCTAGATGGAAACCTGGCTTCTGTCATAGCTAGATTATTTTGCGCTAGGTTGGGCTGCAATTAAAAATACTCAAAAAAAATTTTCTGCTCGAGCGACTACCGCCTTCAAAATACCAGATAAAGTAGCAAAAATTCCAAAAACCAACTTTTTAACCCGATTTTCTGATATTATTTTGGTTTACGCCATATTTTTTAGATTTTACGTTATTTTGGTGTGTGATTCAAAGCTCTTTTTTGCTTTTCTATCGAATAACGTCAAAAAAAATTCGAAGAATGGCAAAAATATCAAATTTGGGACCCTTGGGATATCTGTGGAGGCAAAATTGAGCCTCAGAATTCACTAGAAGACCAAATGAATCGAATAGTTTTGAAAACTGCCGTAAAAACCCACCGCCCACATCACTTTCTTGTCCAAAACGTTGGCCACTTTGATGAACTGCTTCTGGATTAGGTCAAACAGCGTCGCGCATTTTTTCGGGATCTTCGTGCTCGGCGTCACCGGGCAAGCTCCATTGGCAAATTCCACCAGACAGCAAAACGAGATCAGGAGGGCCAGCCGCATTTCCGGGGAGCGGGGTGTACGGTAATGCGCAGGGGAGTGTAGCGGAAGTTCCCGGGTTCAAGGGGTCATTATATAGTCGCTGGCCTGGGGAGGGGAAGTCTGCGAAATTCGCTATAATCCTTTGGGGTCTCGGTCCATTTTGTGGGTGTTAATTGGGTGTGCCCGAGCCGGCGTTTTCGAATTTTTTCGGATTAGAACGTGCAGAGCTTTTCATTTGGTGCGGTGCAATAGTTTGAACCCGGACGCGATAAGTTCAAAAGTGGCGGCAGAGTTCAGCAGAATTACGGAGAAGCTGTTGTTTTTTTTTGCCTCAATAGGCTATAGGTCAAGGTTTACGCGAAAGTTGTGCAGGTGAAAACATTTTAATACAAAATTTGCTAGGTTTATAACGTAAAAAGCGATTTATTCCTATTTCCCAAGACCACTCGCCGCATTAATCGATTCGGTGAGGTTGATGTTGCAGTCGCAGATCTGCGGCTTGGTCATGCAGGCTACCTGAAAGTCGGGATTTTGCATTTTTCTAGTATTTTTATAATCTATTTTTCTGATTGCTCTTGATATTACATTTCATAATTAACTGAGGGGTAAATTTGCGGTTTTTCATACAAAAATCTGTTTGTTACGACTGCCAGACTTATCTAGCATAAAAACTATCATATTATGATGCAGTAGCTTTGCTTTTCCAAACGCGAAAAACAGAGCTCTAGGAAAATCATCGTCTAAAGTTTGGCTAAATCACTTAAAAATTTCATTTCGGGTCTAAAATTTGGCTAAAAATGCCAGGAAAGGGTCAAATTAATTTAAATAAATTATTTGAAGGAATAGTTTGATAAAGACCATCATTTTCATGTCACTTAGGAAAGCGAGTAAAAAAAACGTTCAGTTCGTACCGTCGACTTATCCCTGTACGTCTGGTACATCGCTGCGTATTTCGGGACGTACGGGTCGAACAGCTTCTGCATCACGACAACTTGAGTACGAGCTTTGGCTGCCTAAAAATAGACACTGACGCTCAGAGTTACCAATACCAGCAAAGTACTGTATCTCAAAAACGAAAAAAGACAAATGCAGTTTTAAGGAAATTAAAGCTTACTAAAGCTAACTCGTATCAAAAATCAACTCTCATCTACCGGATCAACTCAAAAAAACCTTGATAGTCGTAAGTTACGATAGCGTAAGTGATTTAGTGCACACGTAAGTTACGTAAGTGCTTTGCACTTACATTGAAACATGTCTGGACGAGCTTCTGCGTTTGAAGGTATTGCACACCCATTGCGCAGACGTTTGTCATCACCACCGTTTGGTTCAACTTCTTGATCCACTTTTTGTACTTTGGAGTGAACTAAACACCATAAGCATTTTCAAAGATGATTTTAAATTGTTGTATGTGTCCTCATCCAATTAAACCCATCAATCTCGGGCTAACAAATGTGATTACCTGATTTTTATAAGCGCCCTTCAAACATTCAAGCAATGCGCATATCATCGAGTTGCCGATCGTTTGCAGATTAAAACGGTTGACCTGAAAAACGCTCAAATTTTTTAGATTTTCTATTTGCGTCCTTATAAACGTTGAATAAAATAACAACGTGTTTAACTAACCGCGACAAGTGTCGTCAGCGCCATTGCATCTACAGCCACTTTTGCCGCCGTACCCGGGTTGTATTCCGTAGTGCAACCGACTAGCGTATCCAAGTTGTCCGTCGCGTACTCCGTTACCACTGCAAGGCATTGTCTATTTTTTTTAATCCAATTGACAATTTAATTTTATCTATTTTTAGTTCTGTTATTTCAAAACAACAACGGGTTTAACCCTGTGCAAGTCATGCGGCGCCTTATCATCACTTTTCCATTGAGAAATCTTATGCGCTGGGTGAGCCGTTTCGAAACCAGTCAGTTCCGATCTTCTCTTTCATGAATTTTCTCATCGAGCCTATTTCCGTTTTCCACCATAGACGTTTTGAGTTACTTTTGAAAGAACAATCCTTGCACATTTTTAGAGCATACCAAAATTGGTAATTTTCGGGCGTTAAAATTGAGGCGATGCTTACTGCTTAAGGAACTGCTAAATTTTGTGAAAGAAGCGTTTGTTGTAATCAATTCCTAAAACTCACTCCCTCCAACCTCGCACATTGTCGGTACCGCCTTGTTGAGCGCCGTTAGGCGCTTCTGGATCCAGGCAAGTCCGTGTGTGCCGAGACCCTCGGCGAACTAACATTACTTTTTTCAAATCCGCGCGCCAGACTCAACGTTTGTTTTCATGTTTTTCTGATTTATTCGGATTGAACTAGGTCCTAATACTGCACCTTCTCTGGCCTTCCCACTACGACACGCGTAAGCGCGCTAGAATCGACCCCTAGGTCTCGACAGCTACGCGCTACCCCAAAACAAACGCAAGTTAATATTTACGCTATAACAATGATTTACAAGATTTTTACGATCCTTTTGTACGAGAATCATAATCAAGAACAATTTTTCAAAAATCACAGTTTCGAAAAACCGCATTGATATTTCATACCACGCAGGCGAGTTCCTGTTAATAGCTGGCAGCTAAATTCTCAAAAAATTTACTTTTTTCGAAAATATGACTTTCGAAACTGTGTATGCCAATGCTTGAGTATCTCGGATCTCTAACTTGGGTATCTCGAATTTAATGACTATCCAGAGCTAGCCGATATAAGACTAGATCCTGCTGCTTTCTAGCCATTAAAGCCAGTCCGAAACTCTCCGACGCTGGGTTGATTAATTGGCTAAGATCATCTAATGGAAGCGTTTGACTTTTTCCTGATTCACAAAGCGTTTTATCCGGGGTATACATTTTTGCGTCTTACCAAAAACCTCCGTAAAACCAATTTTCAAATTCAAACTCACCGCCCACATAACTCTCTTGTCAATAATATTTTTTGTCTTGATGAATTGCTTCTGAATCAAATCCAGTAGCTTGTTGCACTTTTTCGGAATCTTCGTACTAGCCGTCACCGCACAGCCACCATTAGCCAATTCGAATAGGCATAAGATGCAAAAGATAAAGAGTAGTACCCGCATTTTAGACAAGGGGATACGGTAGCCGGGAAGTAGCCAGCGAATTAGCATCAAACTCCCGAAATACGCGAATTTATACGAAGCTGAGTGTGTATTGAGCATAATCCGGCGGAAGCTGCTGTGGAACCTCTAAAAGTTGCACCACTCTTCAGCACTAATTGCGCGATACGAGCGTTTTTGCGATTTTTCGACCCGCGCTTTGTACTCGGCGCTGAAAATAGGATCCGCTGGTCAGAGGCTCGCGAAGATCGGCATCAAAAAATTGGATTCACGAGAGGTGAACTGTGGTTTCGATTTTTGGAAATTTCAAACATTTATTACGTTTTTCCTGAGTTTGAGTAACAGCTTAACGAAACCATTGTAAAGTCATCATCATGATGGATAGGTTCAAATGCAAAGACGCTAAAGAATAACCCAGTTCCGAGACGTTGCGATGCCATACCCGTCCTTACATAAGCAGGCTGCCTAAAAAAATCTTAGCATTTTGCCGACCTCAATCCGAACTGTTCCAAACTTTTACCAGCGACGAGGACGCGCACAAAAACGATGTCTGCGCAGCCAAATTTTCAAGACCAAAGCAGCGTCAAGAACGGGTTGTGAACAACTTAATTTTAATGTTTGGTTTCATTCTATTTTTCTGGGTTTCTGACAGCCCTTGGGACCTAAATGTTTCGCAAAACTAAAAACGTCGCCTTTTTATGTATTTTTAGCCTGTAGGCCCATAGTCCTTATTATAATCGCATGTTTCAATTTTCCCGACCCCCTATATACGTACGGGCTGTCGGTCCCATCTGTACCTACTTCGCCCGCTTATCTGTAAAATTGTTGTTCGACGCCTGGAATCGGTGCCAAGCCTATGATGGAGTGTGGAGTCTAGATAAGGCCGCCAATCGATCTGAAGCGTTTTTATTGTCCAGCCCTCCACACAGAAATTTTTTTAGAATCTATTTACATTTTCAGAGCAATAACATGGTATGGTATCCACCTGAGTTTGCTTTGAACCATCGATTCAATCTCTATGGGCGAACCGACGATCGTTACGTCATTGTGGATGCAACAGTGTAAGATAGTGCCACCTTTGATGAGACTTGTATTCTTGGGTAAGGGGACGCAAAAAGAGCAACTACTGCGCTCATCCTACTATTCCCACTATATATAAAAAAATTGTGTCTGTGTGTGTGCATTTGCATGCAACTTCCGTGAGGTTGTCTCTCACCTACAGCCTCAGGGGAAAGTTTTTAGGGTACGTATGATACGTCATTGGGTGCGTAATGGTGCCGAGATGAGTGCCCACATATCAAAGTTTTAAAAAATTACTGTTTTCGCAATTAAAATTGGGTTTTTGTAAAGTCATCGGAAAATCTCTTTGTTAGGAGCCAATTTGCATGGACGGGCAGTGAGGAAAGCCTATAAGGGGGTAGAGGGGTCCTTTTCATTTTTCTGCAATCAAGGTTCGGGAAGAAATATGTGTGCGTTAGACGGGGCCAGGCCCGTACGGGGACCGAGATTTCGGGGGGGCACCCACCCAAACAAATTTTGGCGACCCCCCCCCCGGATTTTTGCGAAAAAAACATAAGGGTCCCCCCTTATGAACTTTTCGGACCTCGACCGATTTCGGGGGGACGGACGGGCCTGGACGGGGCCAGGGTTGAAATGCCGCGAAGCGGTTTTTCAACCCTGGTTTTCTCATAATTAATCTGTTTTAGGAAAACCGTTTGGAAAGTCTATGTTCTGGACGACATTAACGGGCGAGACAATGAACAAAATGTGGAACAATATTCAAGGGAAGCAGAATGCAATAGAAGGTTGTTAGAAAACCCACATCCAAACCTCCGGAGCGTACGGGATGGTGATAATGGAATCCAAAATTTTCGATATGACCAAGACCGGAAACGATATGGCGTTTTGGAATTTGTTTACCTCCCTAGCGTGCTTGAAAAAGGTAAACCGGACCTAATGTCCATGTTTTGGGCTCGGACGTAGCACCCTCAAGAATACATTACTTTTTCAGTAATATACGACAAAAATGTCAACTACACGATATTTGACGTGCTGGCAGCGACCCTCCAACATCTGGAAGGAATCGGGCACCTGCACGACAAAATTCGCTTTATCCACGGAGAAATCAAAGCCGACAACATTTACATCGACGAAAATGGCATCGTCAAGATCGGCAACTTTAGCAAAGCTGTTCCCCTGGATAAATATGGCGTAAGGTTTTCGCGACAGACACATCATTAAAGGCACCCATAATGTTGTGAGAGCAGGATAATCCGATAATGAAAATACGAGTGTTTGTTGCATATGTCGCGCGCTGATAAATTCTTTACATTCGTGATCCGCTAATTTTTTTGTTTAGATTGGATGGGAAAAAGACGCTCGATCGTTTGAAAGCCTGCTGTGGCAGTTGCTGACAAGGAGGTTGGGTCAACGTACTTCCAAAAAAAAATTAGTCTGTGCACCGACGAGGAAATTGAGGCGAGACTTGAATCTTTGCAAAGAAAATTCCCGTGTGGCCGCGATGCAATGCGCGACGCCGGATTTGCTCAGTTGTTTAATTTGTTGGCGAGGTAGGCAGGACCGGGGAAAGGGGATAGGGCTGTGAAAATCGCATTCGAATGGATCAATAAATGATTCTTCTATTATATTTCTTGCTGCTATACTGAATGGCCTGCTCAAAATGTCGAAAAAACTTCTAAGATCCGGAAAAACCACATCCCTCCGGTTGACCGATCGATGATCGAACCGGGCATTTTTGTTAAGTAAAAAACTGTAAGGTCCATTATTTTTTGTCGGGCCGTAAATTATCAGGTTGGAAGGTAAGTCCTGTCGCCGAGATTTTGGAAGGCTGTACATCAAGTTACATCATTACTGATACATCAAGTTGCATAATTTTCGAGCCTATGTTTGCTGGTATGCCTCAAGAAACAACAAGGAGAGTCAAAAGGAGTATGCACAAATATTTTCTAGCTTGCGGTGGCTAAATCGCATTGCTCAAGGAGCGGGGTATTCTGCGCAATGGGATTTACTCAAACGAAACTTCAAGGTAAGCCCTGCAGCCATCAGTGTGACAATAGGATTTCTTGGCTCCGCAAACAAAACTTGTTTGATCGGCACTAGATGTCCTCTCCATTTCCTTCAGTTCGTATTCCTTCCATGCAAAATGGCGCATGTATGCATGCAAAGTCTGTGGAATAATTATTCTTTAGTTGCGCCCACCAACCTCGCACCGCACTTAATAACAGTGAATTTCAGCCTTGGCAGTACGTGGACTGCAGGTTCGAGCCGTACCCAAAAAAAGAGGGCCTCCTTTGCATGCCCCCTGGGCTAGCAGAATTTCTAAGGGAGAAAGCATCATCTTCTCTGCTAGGACCCCAGGTAGTATCTCGCTTACCGGACCAAAAAGTTTCTCGGATGATCAAAATCCTTTATAAGCACTGTACATAGTACTTCAGGAGCCAATTCAACATCCCATTGAATCCCATTTATCCAAGGATCAGAAACTTGTTAATCTGCGTGATCGCGCCGCGTGGAATGCAGCGCCCAAAATTTCGAAAAACGCATCCGACTTCGAGTGGGTTGTTAAATATTACAAACGGTATCGAGACGCCCTTATGAAAAGCGAGGCGGAGGTGACAAGATAAGTAGCGTGCGTTTTTCTGACCGAAGAGTCGGCCGAAAATTGTCGAAGTAGTGCGAGGTTTAGGCGGGGCTCTCGCTCTAGCGCCGCAGGCGGAAGAAAGGTCCTTTCCCAGGCTCTCGCGCCACAGGCCATCTATGCTCTTGATCACAGTCCTTGATCTATGCTCTTGCGCCGCAGGCCTAATCCGGGAGAAAAACCAGTAACTAGCGCCGCAGGCAAAAAGGTTCTAGCACAAGGTTTAGCGTGGCTCTCGCTCTAGCGCCGCATGCCAAAGAAAAGATCCTTGGCTCAGGTGCTTGCACCGCAGGCTAAAAAGGAAGGTATTCAGATTCATGGTTCCTGGACGGGTCCAGTGGAAAAGGGCCGCGAAGCGGTCTTTTTCCACTGGTTTTACCATATAACAATAAATAAAAAGCAAAAACCTTATCGATTTTTCCAACGTATATGTCCAAAAAAGAACAGAGCTTTTTTAGAGAACGGTTCCAGCTTCAAATGGAACGGAGGCCTCAAATGAAGTTGAAGACTCCGGAAGCAGGGCTTGGGCCAACAACATGGTTGAGCGCCACGACAGAGCATCAGGAAAGGTGTGTAGAGAAACAAAAAAAAAACATAGTATGCGAGGTGGTTCGATAGCAAATTTCGGTCGGCAATTGAAGAGTTTAAAGGGAAGTATCAACCTTGGTTGGCGATGTGAGAGGGATGCTATGTTTGCCCGAAGCGCAGAAGGCGGAAAGGTAAGGAGGGAAGCAGGGGTGAAGTATTTTACCAGATAAAAATGAATAAAAAGCATAAACCTCATCGATTTTCATAACTTATCTGCCAAAAATTGACTTAGATAAAGGCCAGGATCAACCTTGTTTAGAGTGCGGATAGAGATGGAAGCCCGGTCCAAAACCGAGAAGGCTAAGAGGTGCGTAAGATCTTATCAAAAATAAATACCGTATTACCTCTAATATAACGCTCCCCCCTCTATCATAACTCCCACCTCCCACCCCTTCTAATATACCCAAACCCTGAAATTTTTCTCAAATATGCACCTAGGAGCCGGAAAAACGCGGAAAAGGTAAAACTTATGCTTAACACTGCAATTTTGCGTGATTTTAAGGCTTCTATCGCGCAAAAAATTTGTGTTTTTGGTGAAAATCTGACCATTTTACCCCCCATTTTGGAGATTTCAGTCGATCAAAAAAATCCAGGGACGTCGCGTAATACAGGCCCCGGGGGCCCGGCCCCCCGCAATCGGCCGGGCCCCGAAAATTTCATAAGGGGGGGGGCCCTTATGATTTTTATTTTCTCAAAAATTTTGCTGCCTGCGGCGCTGTTTTTTCGGCAATGTTTGAGGTTTTTTGGAAACATTTTTTTGGGGGCCCCCCCGAAATTTTTTTCTGGCTACGCCCCTGCCCCCCTCCCATCTATTATAACCTCTCCCTCTCTAATACAACCCGCCCCCCCAGGGTGATTGAAAAAATATAACCCCTGGGGTTATATTAGAGGAAATACGGTAAAAAAGCATAAACCTCATCCATTTCACAACTTATCTTCAAAAACATATCATCCTTTTAGTGTGAAGTGGCTGCGTCCGAAATGAGGAGATCTGTAGAGCGCCCCGAAAGCTAAGAATAGCCATTTTACCCAAAAAAACATCAATAAAAGTATAATTATAATATTATTATACACTATTATGCGATAACAAAGACCAAATTCTATATAAAAATCGGAAATTTACATACAGCGTGAAGAAAACCTAATGAGTGAAAGTCTTTTTCGAAGTCGGAAAGGTGAGGAGCAACATCTTATACGAATAAAAACCTAAGAAGCACGAATCAGATATCCATATCGTATATCGGTTTGTAGAGCGCTCCGCTCCCGCGCTCCTCAGCATTTTTCGACGATATTCATTTCGCCGATTTTTCAGCCAACACTATCACCACTTTATCCGGTAAAGTAGATCTGCGTCAAAGAATGAAAGCACCAAGGAACATTAATAAATTGAAGATCACAGTGCCGGAGCTAACCTAGAAATTTGACCCACAAATCAGGTGTTTACGCAGCAAATAATTCCTAGGCTTATATTAGACTCAGCTATCAAGTAACGTTAGTTAGTTTAAGAGCTACCACGAAAATTTCAAAAAATGTTCTAAAAGTCGCTCGAACTGCCGTGGAGGACCACATCGTTATAAAAACGGTTTTCAGTGAACAATTCCAAATTTTTTTTTGTCTTAGCCCATTAGAAAAAGCATCTTTTGCTCCACATGATGTGCTAATTGCTTTTGACGACATTTTTTAAGTATTTCAATTTTCCGGATTTTTCCGGGATCCACGGTCTCCAACCATCAACTTACCAAGGATTTAATATCCTCCTCCAGACTTTTCGGCCCAAACCTCTTTGTTTCTGGCCCAATATTTAACTTGTTGCTATCTCATGGTATCCCTTGACTCCTAACTGATAGCACGCACGGCCAACTGGCTGTGCGATACAGATATGGCTGCAGCGGCCCCGGTAATTGCGCTTGTGGTTCGTAGTTTTGGTGAATAACCAGGAGAACCGCAACGCATCCGCAGCTTCCACGCTACCCTATGCCGGGAGCCTTGTTTCGGAACGGGTAGCAGCAACTTGTAAAAAACATCCAAGCAGACACTCGCTAGTAAATTCTCGTTGTCTATGCCTTGGTTTCCTCCTGAATTTATTCTTAGCTCGAGAAATAATATATTCGGGAATACGGAAAAGCGTTATGTAGTGACCGATGCAAATGGGTAAGTGATGCATACGGCATTGGTTAATAACTGATATACTGACTGAAAACCGGCCAGTTATCAGGCATATTAACCATGCAATAAGGCCTTTTCAGCGGTATTGTATGGAAAGTATATATACTCGAGGATGCCACCGGCGAACCCTTAGAAGATAATTGTAAAAATTTCGAGCGAGAGGCTTCGCATCATAAAAGACTATCGAAAACCCCGCATCCAAATATACGCACTATACGACCTGAAGGGGTGAAGGAATTTCGTTGGGAGGAAGATGGATGGAAGTATGGTATTCTGATATTTGACTACCTCCCGCATGTACTTGATGAAGGTGGTTTTCGTTGCCTACCACTATTCATGGAAACAATAGGGTCGAATTTTTTATATGTAGGGTTTTTTAAATGTCTGCTGTGGAAGGTTGCACAGGATAAATCATTACTTTTTTTGACCAACTATTACGGGGTGAATCTGCAATGCTATTAGAGCGTCATACATAAAATTCAGCTTTCAGTCATCGCGAACGAAGCTCTAAATTATACGTCCGATGACGTGATCACGGCGGCTTTTCAACTTGCCGAAGGAATTTATCATCTTCACTATAATATGGGAATCACTCACCGGGACATTAAACCTGCTAATGTCTTTCTCGACAACGACGGGATTCTCAAACTTTCTGACTTTGATATATCGCTAAATGGTCTTTGCGGATCCTTGCCGGATGTTTGGGGAACTCCGCGCTACATGTATCCTGAGCAAATCGTCAAAAAAGAGGTAAGTACGTATAAGTCTGCGGAACTCGGGTTATCGGTCGAAAGGTAAGTATTGGGTCGAACCAAAAGTCTCTACAATATTTTTCATTCTTTTAGATTTTCGTTCAGAAAATGTCTCAGAAATTAAATCTTTTAGCGATAGACTAATGCATAATCAATTGCTCTACCCGGCCCTGCCTACGGAATCGCAAGGCTTTTCTTTCAGAATTTTTTTATCTTTTCCAAAAAATCAAGAATGGCTTTGTGCCGTTTTTCGCAAAACTGTTCGGATTTACTTTTTTGCATATTTCGGCATTCAACAAATAGCTAAAACTTATTATATTAGGAGTGGTCAATTCCTATGGAGATTTTATGGCGCTTCTGAAAAATATCAGAGTCTAAAATCTGAGATGCCTCAGAGAAAAACACAAAAATAATAAAATCCCCGGGACTCGAAACTTGTAGTTTTCTTCTACAAACTATTGTACCCAACAGATATATGAAAAAAGGAAAAACCCTATTGATCCACAAAATATTTAGAAAGAACTTGCTGAAGTTCGAATGTAAAGACTTTCGGTTCAACCTAATACGTCCGATTCTTCCATTTTCAAGATTAGCTCGCGAATTCTTCGCGTAATGATTTGTGTATAATTTTACCCCACCCCCGCGTGTTGCAATGATAACTGATCCTTATCGCATTTGTGATAATTTTGATTGCTAAGAACATAGAAAAATAATTTATATATTGATGAACATTTGAAAATTTCCAGCCTTTTGGGCATTTTACATGAATTTACACTCTTTCAGTACGATTGCCGAGATGATCTTTGGTCGATGGGAGTCGTGCTGTGGGAGCTAATTACAAAAAAGTCAGTTTGCTAGAAGTCTAATTATCTTTAGGCGTTGCTTCGCCGGTTTGGGGAAAGCAAATTTATCTGGATTTTATGAACAACGGCAATTTGAGGTACCCCCTCTATTAGGCGCGGATCCGCTTGGTCAAGTTATAGCCCGGTAAGTTCACCTAATTGGCATACTGGGCATATTTCTGGTTTAGCTGTTGTCCTGTCCCAATTGGTGAAGCTCATCGAATAACCGCCAGGGCGCTGGAAGAAATGTCTTTGCACGAGGTGAATTTTGGAAAGACTTCCCTTCTCACATTAAAGTGTTGTTACTCGTGTCGGAATTTGTGATTAGACAAAGTCCATTTTGTGCAGAATTCTTCGCTATTCTGAATCTGCCTCGACAAAATGCGGACGGACGATTTTTGAAAAGTTAGAGCGCATTGAGGGTGCGACAATGCAAAAAGGTCATAGAAATCGCCAGAAACAATTTGTTTGAGAGTTAGATGGCGCGTTTTACTTGGAAAACCCAACTTTTTTTCCGAGGCTTTTTTTATAAATCGCGGATGCGCTTGTCTGTTGTTTTTCACTATTGTCACTGCTCCAATGAGTGACCGTGCCCTGGGGTCGTAACAGGTCCCTGGGGAGGACCGGCGCCCGTATAAAAGGGGCCACTAGGGCCCTCAGCCTCACTTCACTCTACTACCCTACCCCTTACCTTGAGCTCGCTTGGTTTCTGCGCCTTTTCTTAGGACAGCCACCTAGAGCTCGAGGCTTGAAGGTTGTATCAGTGTATTCCGCTAGTAAATCCTAAGTGATTATACCGTAGCCTTGCACCCTACACTCAATCACACTAAATCCACTGAACACGTAGACCGACTCTAATACAGGTGCAACAACTATTACTGTGTATAAAAATTGAACAAATTTTAGTTAAGAATTTCCTCTTAGGTCATCGTTTCTTCTTTCCACTTTTTCAATTACGCCGTGCAAAAAAATATATAAAAACACTTTATTTTATTCAATCACTAGGTCGCGGGGCGGCCAAGAAAGCGTTTGTCCCCCCCCCTCCCCCACGAATCCTAAAGAACCCCGTGAGCAAATGGGCTGAGTAAAAACACTTTACGGTCAGCGAGGCTGGTCTTTTTGGCTATGAATTAAACTAACCAAGAATTTAAGATTCCCGAGCACAAGCCAAAATTCGAGATTTTCCCGGTCGACCCGCCGGCTTTTCAGCCACCCATTGGGCTAGAAGAAGTGCAGATTGAGGAAACACCAATTTATGAAGCTTTTCGAAATAACGGGAAACAACTGATAAATCAGGCACAGGAGGCCACATTTCGATCTTCCGCAGGATTTGAAGTCACGCATCCAGACATGAGTACGGGCAGCGAAAGCTCCGGCTCGGTAAGTCTTCTCAACGGATTATTGGAGCAACCAAGAAACCATAGAATTTTGACGACCTTTTTGACTCGGTCATTGCGCAACTTATTGGAATTATGATTGACCGTTTCAGCGCTCCGCTATTCAAAGTAAGAAGCTCGACGCAGATCCAGAGCGCCCGGGCACCAGTCGAGAGACATAGAACAGATCTCCAATATTTTATTATTAGATAAAATAATATGCACAACCACAAATTACATGAAGTACAGGAAAACGAAGCAACAAATAACAATATTATTATTCGAGTTTACGAAAATAAAAACTTATTACAACCGGATTCTCTTGATCTGGATCTCATCGTCAATTGCATCGTAGAATACATCATCGTCGGAGTCGGATTCAACGTCGCTCTCTGCGATCGGTGTTGGTGGCTTGGCGCGTTTTTCAGTCTCAAAAAAGATCATTATTGTATCACGTTTCGGACTAAATTTGATTAGTTTAACAGAAACGGCAACAATAAAAATTCTTGTGGGATTTACAGCTCCAAAAACCAACCAAATCACGATTCTTATAAATTTCTATTCAAACTAAGCTAAATTTAATTTTATTTTATTTATTTTATATTTATTTATTTAATTTTTTAAGATAAAAATTAGCGTTAATTTATCGATAAAAGTATAATATTCACCGTTGGAATCAATATAACATCATCTATTGAGTTCGAATCGCTATCGGAATCGGTTTCGACGTCGCTTTCTGTGAGTGGTGCTGGTCGAGCAGGTTTTCGTTCCTAAAAAATATAATAATTATTAATATAATTAAATTGTCCATTTTAATTTAATTTAACTACAATAAACAGCTATACTACAAATTCTGACGTTAATTTCAAGCAAAAACATCAGACAATACCTGATTACTAACGATTTCCTCTTCTTCCAGCGAGTTCAAAAAATCATCTTCATCATCCTCATCCTCTCTCGGGTAGAATTCGACGTATTCTCCAGTTTTCTCATCGACAGCAATCTCCCACGTGTCACATTTGTCCCAGGGGCAGCCGCAGCAGGATTTTGAACGTTTCCCGACTGAGACGACGGTGAACTGGTTGCCGTCGCCGTGCCGTCCGTAGAGGAACGCTTCCGCGATCATCTTTTCTTGGCCTAAAGTTGTAAGATTGTTTTTGGCTACCTTTTTATGCTTTTTATATTGCTAAAAATTATTCTTGGAATTCTTAATTCAAGATCCTATAAATTCAATAACTGCTTTGAATAAGACTTTCAAGATTGTTTGTTAAAAATTAATGAAAGAGTCGTAAAAATTTTGAAGGATGTTGACTTTTTGGTCAAAAATGCAGCTATGAAAATCGTCAAAAGCTTTGGCAAAAGGAGGTTATCGGCTTTGAAAATCGTCAAAAAGCATTGGCAAAAGGAGAATTCATGATGTTTTCTTGGACCTTTTCCCCCAGGAAAATATCACAAATTTGAGGGAATTTTACCAATTACGCAATCACAATCTACCTTTCAAAACGAGCCGCCGAATGAGAAGTGGTGCAGAATCGGCGGATCGTGCCCGGACGTCTTCTCGAAGGTTCTTGTCGGCCCAGTAGAATTTGGCGCCCTCGGGAAGTACGGATGGGCCCAAGTAGGGGGCACTGTCCTCGAGGCCCTCTTCGGGCAGGGCTTGAAACATTTTCCCGTGGCAGACGTGCGTTGATTTGCGCTTCCGGCTGTTTTCTGCAAACGGCCTAATTTTGAAGAGGTTCTTCAGTACTCTATCGAGATCTAGAAATAGGTTTTCCCGTTTTTACTACTGAAAAAAAAGAAAAACTTGTTTTCGGGGTTGGAAAAACATATTTTTTAGATTTTGAAAATTAAAAAAGATTCCTACCGCTTCCTCCTCGATTCTTGGAGACGTTCGGCGACCACATGAGGTGCGCCTGGTCAAAGTGGCCTAGCGGCAGCGTTTCCCGCCAACTCCACGCGGCTAGATGGAACTGAAAAGGACATATTTGAAAAGATTTAGTTTAATAACCTTATGTACTACGCATTTGTACCAATCTATTAAAATTCCAAGTTTCAGCGCCTCACAAAAATACCAATATTTCCAAAACCAACCATGTGATCAGCGCTGAACTCTTCAAATTCATCCCTTCGTAGATGCCGTAGAACATGGGAGTAGACCTTGCGCTCGTCCTCGGAAAGCGATGTGTAGTCGTCTTTTGGCGCTCCCCAATCGGCTAGGAGGAATCTCTGAAAAATACGCTTTTATTAGTTTCAAAATATTAAATCTAGTTTCAAAAAAAAAACGCTCACCCGATCGAGACGATCCGCTTTGATCTGCTGCATCAATTCCTCGAATTCGATCTCCACGTCCGGCTCGGCATCCCGGTTCCAAATATCGGCCAGGTCTCCTTTGTGGCGATGAAGATCGGCGATGATCACACCGATCGCGTTGTGCTAAAATGAAGTGATTAAGAGGGTGGTGTCACTTTGTTCGGTAGTATTAATGTCTTTTTCTTTACGTATTAATATTTTGTCATACACTCACCGTCACTTCCAACGGCAGTTTTCGGAAATCCAAGAATTCAGGGCACAACACAGCCAACAGATTCCTCTTCAGCCAAGCGATGCCATCAAGGTTTTTGTCGATTAGCGTTGTCATTATCTAAAAAATATATAAAGTTTTCGCATTAGAGTAGGTAAGTAGTATTACAGCAAATAAAAACGGCAACTTGAAAGACTTGAAGCAATTATGACACCCACTGAGGATTGGCGCCTAATCAAGCGGCAGATGTTTGCCACGCGTTGCCACTGATACGCAGATTTCAAAAAAGATAACGATCAGCACATTAAAGATATCGATATGGGTCAGTGGTTATCGCGAGGAATAGCTAATCGGCGCATTAATATAAGAGTTTGTTGAAAATACTATGCTATTCGCAAAATTCGAAAAAGACCTTTCTAAAACATTTATTACATCCTCGGCTTTTTCGCTTCGGGCTCTTGTTTAATTTCGTCGCAGAAGACGGCGCCAAGGGAGTCGATGTCGAACACTTCGAATTCTTCTTTTACTTCTTTACCAGTGACGGTTTCTTGGGCTTGTTTGAGCGCCTGAAAAAATATTTGGTAGAGAGAGAGAGAGAGAGAGAGAAACAGAAAATTCGAGATATTGAGGATGCCGTTACCTCGACTTCGTCCTGAGTTGCCTTGCACAAAACGACGCCCTCAGCGCCAATCTCGAAAACGTCAAACTCCTCTTCTTCTTCTTTAATTGGGAGGTTTCGAAGAACAGGTTGAAGGTTCTGAAAAAAATATTTAATAAATGCTGTTAATAATATTCCTTGCCTTTGTTGAAATTACCAAAAATCACCTGTTTCTCAGTGGGCCGTACCAACTGTAAAACGTCGGCTTCCTCCTTCCCGTCTGGCCGCCGGAATTCGATGTATTCTTGGGTCTTCTCGTCGACCGCAATCTCCCAAGTATCGCACAGATCCAGCGTACATCCACAAGCCCTCCTTCTGCCCTTGCCGACCGGGGTCACCATGAACTGGTTGCCGCTGAAGAACCGGCCGCAGAGGAAGCCCTCGCTCAGGAATTCTTCGAAATCTGGAAAAAAAACGGATTAAGTAGATTAGCGGGGGGCCGGAGTAATACTTTTTTTAATATTTTATTTTGTTAACTAATTTTTATATTATTTTTTACCAGCGGGGGAGGAGCCGCTTCGCGACTCTCCCCCGCTGGACCCCGTCTAGGCCCTATGAATCGAGCGCCCTTCCACATAAAGTTACACTGAAGAAACGCATCTCCCATGCAAACCTCTTTGTATTGACATGCGGCGCAAGCTTAAATCACTAGTGTCGTCATTAGGCCCACGGCGCATGCTTGATCGGCCAAGTCTTCATCCAGCGGCGCCAGCTTGAGCGGCTTGCTTCGTTCTAAAGCCTGCGGCGCTAGCTTGAGCGGCTAGCTTCGTTCTAAAGCCTGCGGCGCCAGCTTGAGCGGCTGGCTTCGTTCTAAAGCCTGCGGCGCCAGCTTGAGCGGCTGGCTTCGTTCTAAAGCCTGCGGCGCAAACTTGAGCGGCTAGCTTCGTTCTAAAGCCTGCGGCGCCAGCTTGAGCGGCTGGCTTCGTTCTAAAGCCTGCGGCGCAAGCTTGAGCGGCTAGCTTCGTTCCAAAGCCTGCGGCGCCAGCTTGAGCGGCTGGCTTCGTTCTAAAGCCTGCGGCGCCAGCTTGAGCGGCTAGCTTCGTTCTAAAGCCTGCGGCGCTAGCTTGAGCGGCTAACTTTGTTCTAAAGCCTGCGGCGCCAGCTTGAGCGGCTGGCTTCGTTCTAAAGCCTGCGGCGCAAGCTGAGCGGCTAGCTTCGTTCCAAAGCCTGCGGCGCCAGCTTGAGCGGCTGGCTTCGTTCTAAAGCCTGCGGCGCAAGCTTGAGCGGCTAGCTTCGTTCCAAAGCCTGCGGCGCCAGCTTGAGCGGCTGGCTTCGTTCTAAAGCCTGCGGCGCCAGCTTGAGCGGCTGGCTTCGTTCTAAAGCCTGCGGCGCAAACTTGAGCGGCTAGCTTCGTTCTAAAGCCTGCGGCGCCAGCTTGAGCGGCTGGCTTCGTTCTAAAGCCTGCGGCGCAAGCTTGAGCGGCTAGCTTCGCTCTAAAGCCTGCGGCGCCAGCTTGAGCGGCTAGCTTAGTTCTGAAGCCTGCGGCGTTAGCTTGTGCGGCTGGCTTCGCTCTAAAGCCTGCGGCGCTAGTTCGGGCGTCTGGCTTCGTTCTAAAGCCTGCGGCGCCAGCTTGTGCGGGTAGCTTCGTTCCAAAGCCTGCGGCGCTAGTTCGAGCGTCTGGCTTCGTTCTAAAGCCTGCGGCGCTAGCTAGAGCGGCTAGCTTCGTTCAAAAGCCTGCGGCGCCAGCTTGAGCGGCTGGCTTGGTTCTAAAGCCTGCGGCGCTAGCTTGAGCGGCTGGCTTCATTCTAAAGCCTGCGGCGCTAGTTCGAGCGGCTGGCATCGTTCTAAAGCCTGCGGCGCCAGCTTGAGTGGATGGCTTCGTTCTAAAGCCTGCGGCGCAAGCTTGAGCGGCTAGCTTCGTTCTAAAGCCTGCGGCGCCAGCTTGAGCGGCTGGCTTCGTTCTAAAGCCTGCGGCGCTAGCTTGAGCGGCTAGCTTTGTTCTGAAGCCTGCGGCGCAAGCTTGAGCGGCTAGCTTCGTTCAAAAGCCTGTGGCGCTATCTTGAGCGGCTAGCTTCGTTCTAAAGCCTGCGGCGCCAGCTTGCCCGGCTAACTTCCTTCCGAAGCCTGCGGCGCTAGTTTCAGTGGCTAGCGTCGTTCCAAACTCTGCGGCGCTAGCTTGAGCAGTTAGCTTGATTCCTTGGCCTGCGGCGCATGCTTGAGCGGGTAGCTTCGTTCTATAGACTGCGGCTTGTGTGACTAATCAACTATAATAATTTTGCTGTGGTCTCCGTCCGTCCGTCCGTCTGAAGCCGAATTCAACTCGAAGGGGAAAGGAGCTAGAGCTTAGCTCTCTTCGGATTCGGATAGAGCGTGGTCAGAAACCCCCAAACTGATAAAAAAATTACGAAAAAGTTTTTGTTTAAATTATTAAAATTAACTTTGAAAGTGGCGCCTTAATAAAACGAGTGGGGGCCCCTCTCCCCGGGAGGCCACGCCCCCTTTCTCTTCGCCCCTCTTCCCCAGGCCCCTTCGCGCGCCCAGATGCCTTTTTGAGTTACTTTAATACTTTTAATACTTTTTATTTATGTTAATTAATTATTTAAATTATTTAAAGTATCTAAAGCCATCAGGAAGGTATTGAGGTAGTTTTTGAAGGGGATTTCAGCCATGGGGGGTATCTGAAGCCATCGGGAAGGTATTTAGGTAGTTTTTGAAGGGATTTCAGCCATGGGGGGTATCTGAAGCCATCGGGAAGGTATTTAGGTAGTTTTTGAAGGGGATTTCAGCCATGGGGGTATCTGAAGCCATCAGGAGGTATCTAAGTAGTTTTTGAAGGGGATTTCAGCCATGGGGGGTATCTGAAGCCATCAGGGAGGTATTTAGGTAGTTTTTGAAGGGGATTTCAGCCATGGGGGTATCTGAAGCCATCGGGAAGGGATTTAGGTAGTTTTTTGAAGGGGATTTCAGCCATGGGGGGGTATCTGAAGCGATCAGGAAGGTAATTAGGTAGTTTTCGAAGGGGATTTCAGCGATGGGGGGTATCTGAAGCCATCAGGGAGGTATCTAAGTAGTTTTTGAAGGGGATTTCAGCCATGGGGGGTATCTGAAGCCATCAGGGAGGTATTTAGGTAGTTTTTGAAGGGGATTTCAGCCATGGGGGGTATCTGAAGCCATCGGGAAGGGATTTAGGTAGTTTTTGAAGGGGATTTCAGCCATGGGGGGTATCTGAAGCCATCAGGGAGGTATTTAGGTAGTTTTTGAAGGGGATTTCAGCCATGGGGGTATCTGAAGCCATCGGGAAGGGATTTAGGTAGTTTTTGAAGGGATTTCAGCCATGGGGGGTATCTGAAGCCATCAGGGAGGTATTTAGGTAGTTTTTGAAGGGGATTTCAGCCATGGGGGGTATCTGAAGCCATCAGGAAGGTATTTAGGTAGTTTTTGAAGGGGATTTCAGCCATGGGGGGTATCTGAAGCCATCGGGAAGGGATTTAGGTAGTTTTTGAAGGGATTTCAGCCATGGGGGGTATCTGAAGCCATCAGGAAGGTATTTAGGTAGTTTTTGAAGGGGATTTCAGCCATGGGGGGTATCTGAAGCCATCGGGAAGGGATTTAGGTAGTTTTTGAAGGGGATTTCAGCCATGGGGGGTATCTGAAGCCATCAGGGAGGTATTTTGGTAGATTTTTAACGGAATTTCGACCCGGAGGGGTATCTGAAGCCATCGGGAAGGTAGCTATGTTTTTGTGGGGGGTTGGCTAGAGGAGGTATCTGAAGCCATCAGTGTAGTTATTGCCATGAAGGCATCAGCGTAAGGTAGGGATTAAATGTGGTGGTGTAGAATATGGAGGGTGGCCCGAAGTCCAGCCGATTGCAGTCGCGAAGCGGCTGTAATCGGCTGGTTTCATAATAACGTCCCTACACGGAAATCTACTCCGAAACGCACTTTCCGAGCAAAAAGCAAAACAACTAAGATATCCGAGGATCGAACCCCCGATGGTTAGCTTGCCACGCCGAAGCTCTAACCACTATACCATGAAAAGCCTAGGAGCACGTGCGATACACCCCTTTTATGCCTCAAGAGGACTGCCCGGGGCAGACGAAGGAAAGGCATCAAGAGGCAGCTCCAAAGAGACGACCAAACTCGCGAGTGCAACTGGCAAGAATGAGGAAATTTGTATTTTTTCACATTATGCAAATTAGCCCGGCCGGACCCCAAAAATCAATAAAACCGGCTTTAACTTTGTAAACTTGTATTTTATCGAAATTCTGAAAACGCCATCGGAAAGAGGAGGGTCGATTCCCCCGGGTGACGGAGAATTAGGGCATTTTGGACACGGGAAGGCCCTCAAATCGAGCCTCGAAACTGACCTCCGCACACACACACAGACAAAGATACGCGACCAAATTATATAAGGTAGGATTAATTCTATCCTACTACCAGATGGTTACAGTCGCTTCGCGACTGCAACCATCTGGCCTTCGGGCTACCCTAAATGTCTCACTCCACCACATCCTTTCCCACCTCCATCAATACCCCCCATAGCCGAAATCTCGTTCAAAAACTACCTAAATGCCTTCCTGATGGCTGCAGATACCCCCATGGCTGAAATCCCCTTAAAAAACTACCTAAATACCTTCCTGATGGCTTCAGATTGCTCCCCTAGCCGAAATCCCCTTCAAAAACTACCTAAATACCCTCCTGTTGGCTTCAGATACCCCCATGGCTGAAACCCCTTCCAAAAACTACCTAAATACCTTGCTGATGGCTTCAGATACCCCCCCATGGCTGAAACCCCCTTCAAAAACTACCTAAATACCCTCCTGATGGCTTCAGATACCCCCCATGGCTGAAACCCCCTTCAAAAACTACCTAAATACCCTCCTGATGGCTTCAGATACCCCACATGGCTGAAACCCCCTTCAAAAACTACCTAAATACCCTCCTGATGGCTTCAGATACCCCCATGGCTGAAACCCCCTTCAAAAACTACCTAAATACCTTGCTCATGGCTTCAGATACCCCCCATGGCTGAAACCCCCTTCAAAAACTACCTAAATACCCTCCTGATGGCTTCAGATACCCCCATGGCTGAAACCCCTTCAAAAACTACCTAAATACCCTCCTGATGGCTTCAGATACCCCACATGGCTGAAACCCCTTTCAAAAACTACCTAAATACCTTGCTGATGGCTTCAGATACCCCCCATGGCTGAAACCCCCTTCAAAAACTACCTAAATACCCTCCTGATGGCTTCAGATACCCCCATGGCTGAAACCCCTTCAAAACTACCTAAATACCTTGCTCATGGCTTCAGATACCCCCATGGCTGAAACCCCCTTCAAAAACTACCTAAATACCCTCCTGATGGCTTCAGATACCCCACATGGCTGAAACCCCTTCAAAACTACCTAAATACCTTCCTGATGGCTTTAGATACCTCCCTAGGCGAATGCCCCTTAAAAACTAAAATAACGACCGACCGGATACGTGGGAGAAAAATAGAAATGAAATGGCTCCCGTGAAAATTTTCATCCAGGGAACGCACGCCACCTGGCTCACTATGTACAAAATCACCCCAACCTCCATCCCCTCCCCTTTTACTAAGGAAAAAACTTTCAAAGTTAATTTTAATAATTTAAACTAAAAGTTTTTCATAATTTTTTTATCAGTTTGGGGGTTTCCGAGCACGCTCTATCCGAATCCGAAGAGAGCTAAGCTCTAGCTCCTTTCCCCTTTGAGTTGAATTCGGCTTCAGACGGACGGACGGACGGAGACCACAGCAAAATTATTATAGTTGATATATAAAAATAGTGTCCGTGTGTGTAGACACCTTGCATAAAAACCCGGGTTCCAGCCATAACTCGAAGGGGAAAGAATTTTTTGGTCCAGAAATAAGGTAGTTAGGGGGTAGTCGAGGGCGTAGATTACTGCACGCTTATCAGATTTTGACTAAAATTTCGTTTTATCCTTTATTTTAACGTTTTAAAAACATATGGAAATAGACTAATTTGCATACGAGGCGCTAGGAGCCTCATTTTGGCTTTTGTCGCGCTCGCGGCCGGTTGCTTTTGCTATTTTTTAGGGTTCGCTCTAGCTCTTCGCCCGAATTATGCAAAACCCAACTTTTAAAGATCCCCGTGCAAAGGCCAGGGGTGAAAGCCGGGTAGCGGCTTTTCAACCCTGGTCAGAGCTTAAAAAACTTGGACATAAAAAAAGTTTCAGCTCTCAATTTTTGGTTGATAAGGAAAAAAGGCCTAAAATACAATTAAAATGCTTCAAACCTTCAATAATCAAGCGGCGAATGAGGAGTGGTTGAGCGTTGGTGGGCCGTGCTCGAATGTTCCGCCGAATTTTCAGATCGGCCGTGATGAACTTGGCGCCGACCGGGAGCCTTGACGGGCCCAAATACGGTGCGATTCCTTCGAGGCCGCCCTCCGGGATGACGTGAAAACGGTTGCCTCTGCAGGCATGCCGTGAATCGCGTCTCCTTCGGTATTCTTGGGTGACCACTGAAAATAAAATCTATACTTTTGTAAAATCGGGGGGCCGGGAAGGCGAATTTTTTCCTACAATTCTAGGTGGGACTAGTAATGTAATAACAAGTATTCTATAATGGTTTTCAGCAAATTTTGCTATACATCAAGTGGAAACACTATTTAATATCTCGTATTTTCGGCAAAAAAATTGCGAACTTTCTAGCTTTTACGTAAGAAGCGGCGTAGAAAAGGTCATTCTATTTATCTTAGCATGGATCCTAAGTAAAAGTTGTATTCCCCGATTTTGCAAAATTCTGTTCAAAACAAACTATTAACAATTTTGAGAGCACACCAGTAAAGTAATATTAAATTACCTGGATAATACGCATTCCGATGACATTGTTTCAAGATCTGCGCCTTTTCCTCGGGCGTCACCGGGCGCCTCGTGATGTATTTCTGGTAGATGAACCCGAGTGGAAGCGATTCGCGCCAAATCCAGGTGACCACGTTGAGCTAAAAAAGCAAAAATAAGTAAAAAGATTCCTAATCTAAAGCTATTAAAAACCCACCAACTTTTCGTAGCTCACACCGCTCACTTCGTCACTCTTTAGCTGGTCCACGATATAAGAGTAGATCGTGCATTCGTCGGGCGTCAATTCGGAATATTTTTCCTTGGGTTCTGCCCATTTGTTCATCAGGGCCGCCTGAAATTAAAGATATTTACAACGCTTTTTCCCTATTTACCCATATTTAAGGCAAACTAGAGAAAAATAAAACAGCGAAAACCGCTAAATCCTGAAAAAAGCAACACCTACTCGATTTTTACGATAAGACATCGTCATCTTCTTCAACGACGCGTATATTGTAACGGGCTCGGATTGGCTGGGACGATTCCAGAGATCCGACAACTCTTCTTTGCTGTAGTACAAATCGTAGACGAGCACACCGGTTGCATTATGCTAAAAAACTTGTTGAAGACGGTATTGTACAATTAAAGCAGTTATTATAACCATTAAATCGTCAAAAATACAATAAAGTCCGTCAAAATTATTACCACAGTTTGTGCGGGAACAACTCGAAGATTCAAGACTTCTGGGCGTAACTCGTCGAGAATCTTCTCCCGGAATGCGATCATGGAAGGGGGCTTGTTGGCCATCTCGCGCTGACCTGAAACAAAGCGATATTCAAACCAATTAAATCGATTAAACGGACCGAAAAGTAGCTAATATAGTGGTTTTTCGACGTTAATACAACAATTTGAAAGTTTTCAAGCGTATCGAATTCGTAACTTTTCAAATTTGCGAAAATCCGTCAAAATTTGCCGTTGAGGTATATCTGTTTTGAGGGTATTTTTGCTATAAAAATACATAATTAAAACTAGTATCTAAATTATAGGAACCAACTCAAGAGAGGACCGTGGGTGGCGCAGACGTCAAGTGGCGGTTACGGTGCAAAGAGCGCCCAACCAGAGTGAAGGGGGAGTGGGTAAAGGGGACCAGCCGGGGGGTAAAACGACGTATTCCATGAATCGTGGCCAAAAAATTATAAATTTTTTTCAGGTAGTTTTTTAAGTTTACTTTCGGTTTTCGGTTTTAGGTTGTAGATAAAAACAAATATTAAAATCATTTTTATAAGACGGCTTGACTGAAAAATGCTGGTTTTCGATATAAAGGAAAAATGGGAAACACGATGCGATAAAAATTAGCTCTCAATGGGTACGTGTGTTCGAAAATTTTGATTTTAAGAACAATAAACATGACTAAACTGCGCTTGTAGCTACTTAACCGTGCCGTCCGTACAGATGTAAGGCATCGGAAAGATTATTAAGAATTCCAAAAAATAGTTCAGATAGTATCGTCCTCGTCATTCCTCCTCCTCCTCCTCCGGTCCTATTCCACAGCACCGATATTTTGTACCCTGTATTCCGCCAGGCTGGGACCTTTTTCCTGATAAGGGCACGTGTGTAGAAGGTGCCGCAAGTTCGTGTAATGCGCCGTTCCTTGCATTCACTTTTATTTGATTTCATATTTCGTTGGAATTTGATAATAATGGCATGCGGTTTATCTTCATAAAAAATTACAGGCAAATGGTGTGGTATCCGCCCGAGATTAGCGATCCTGAAAAAGTGACGATTGAAGGTAACACCGATGATCGATACGTCCTGATCGATCAGAATAGGTATAGAGATAGATAGAACGAGAGAGAGAGCGAGAGGGAAAGAGATAGCTAGAGAGAGAGAGAACCAGCTAGCACCATAAGGAGATCCATTTTAGTTTACTGGATCCGGTTGTTGCTTTAGCTCTAATCCAAACATGAAAATCATTTCACGACCCCGCACAAAACGTTAGATCAGTTAAATTTAATAAATGATAGCCAGTTTTTAGGAACCCAATCCGAGCGCAGATGCTCTTCCGGAAATGGTAGTGGCGGGAAATCAGAACGTCGGCTACGGAACCTTCGTAACGACAACAATTGGGGGAGCCCTTGGAAGCCTGACCGGCTGGTTTCGCTCGCCCGCAAGTGCAACCGGAGGCTAGCCTGAAAATGCCATCACCTACCGGGTCGCACATATAGCTGTATTTAGCTTGATTCAGTGTAATTTATTTTTGTCTTTGTGTGGGACTTTTCCCGATTATGAGCTCAAATGTCTTTTGAGATTCCATGAATTTTTCACACATTTCCGTGCAAGAGTTGCTGCTAATTACTCCACGCTTTGTTCACTGCCTGTATTTACAAAAGCTTGCACTGCCAACAATAAAAATCGGTTTATTATTCCCTCAATCGTTGCTGCAACCATTTAAATCCTTGGCCATAGCCTTGTCTTGCTACGATTGACGTCATGAAGACTTCTAGCGGTCTTTCGGGTAGGCTGGCTTCTTAAAAAATGCAGAGATTTTAACGAATGCACTTCCAAAACGGTCACCATTGCTCAAAAGCTCTTTCTTACATTGCTTTTGCAAAATTCAAGCTACATAAATCGACTCATCTTACCTTTCCCAGTACACATTTCCTCCAGCCCAAACTGGAAAATGATTTCATGCTCGTCGACAGCATTCGGGCGATCGATTTTGTTGGCCAGGATTAAGATCGGGATCTCTGGGATCTGCAAACACATAAAAATTAGAAAATATCGAATCTTAACTCTTACCCTGACGTCTGCCAAAATCGGTTTCATCCACTCTTTGGCTTCCGCAAATCGCGCTTTATCCGTAGCGTCGATCAAAAATATTATGGCATCAAAGGTAGGAAGTTGCGCCTTAAAGTTTCCGCCAGCTGTAAAGGTGAATTACGAATTTTTAGGACCTTATTTTGATACTAAACTAAAGACTAAAACCAGCTAATTTCGCTAGAAAAACAGTTTTTCAAAACTAGTCGACCCAACGATATGAAAAAAGCTTATAACAACTTACGTAAAGGCATGCCACCCAAATCATAGACATGAATATGAAATTCATCGAATATCAGCTGCTCTCCGACTTTAAAACAGCAAACATCGGTATTACCGTATTAACTCACAAGTTGCCCGGATTCCTGGAGGATTTTCGAGCCTTTGCGTTTTTGGCTCATCAGCGAGCATATGGAGTAGCGTCGATTTCCCAGAATTATCCAACCCGGTCAGCAGGATTTTGTAGTGACATTTGAAGCCTAAAAGTCACGAAATACAGAGACTAGGAAAACCTTAAGTTTAATGACAATGATTTTTTGTTTAATTGACGTTGCAAAAATTCCGACAAATATCCCAAAAATACCGGAAATTTGGAGGCCCTTTGGCTGCGGGCTGCAAAATTTTGTCTATTTTAACTTTAATTGAGCCTTTGTGGTTAGGAAACCTTCTAAAGCTTATAAAATTCATTTTCGCTAGGTGTTTCTTCTAATTGAAATCTTCTTAAACTCATAAGAAATTTATAATTTTTTTTTTCAGCTAAACACGGCCTTTAAACCTACCCAAATACCTCAACAGCGCCATCCACCAATCCCAGATCCATTCAAACATTGCGTGAAAAGGTCCGCAAAAGTAAGTAAAAGCGGATGCAAACAAAAATTAGTAACTCCTCGGCCTCAATTCCACCATTTTAAGCAAAAACCCGGCCAACAAAAAGGCTCCACCTCATTCCGGGACACCAATGTTGTGCCACGTGTCGAAAAGAGTGAGGGCAAAGATGCGGTGAGGGGAGAATGAGTCATAATTTGTTTGCACGGGGCGTTGCCAAGGGCATCTTTTAGAGCCGTTGCACGCGTATTGTTTTGTGGAAGGTATCGGAAAGATCGAACGGTGGTGCTTTATTGGGTTGATTGATTGATTTCATTGGAGCATGTACATGAACCACCAGACTAACGCTTTTATTTCCCAACGCAGTATGAGTTAATCATTATTTTCCGTAAATTTCACATGTCATCCCGACGTCATATCGTCAGCCATACCGCTAACAACAACCGAGCAGTTGCACGTCATCGGCTTCGTCAGACAGGCCACCTAAATTTGTATCTATCGATGTCTTGGGACCAAAATATGGAAAGTTTTTTTGCGCATAAAGTACTCTAGACGGTCCCATGAACCGCGTCTCTACCCTCCTGCCTCTAACTGTAACCGTACTACGGTGGTAGGTACACGTACCGTGGACTTGTCCCTGAAGCTTTGGTACCTCGCCCAGTACTTTGGGAGTTTCGGATCGGCTAGGTCCAGGAGCCAGCCGACATACGAGCGGGCTTTCATATTCTGAACAAGATTTAGCATGAAATGCATTTCACTCTCTCTCTCTCTCTCTCTCTCTCTCTCTCTCTCTCTTTCTCTTTCTCTCCCTGTCTCGCTCTCTCTATCTTTAGCGTTCTCTCTCTCCCGCTCTCGCTCTTTTTGTCAAGCGGTCGATCAAACTTTCTCTTTGGGCTCTCTGGCTCTCTCTCGCTCTCTTTGTCTCGCTCTCTCTCTCAGTCTCTCTCTCTCTATTTATCTCTATCTATCTCTGTCACGTTCTCTCTCTCTATCTATCTCTCTTTATCTCTCCCTCTCTCTCTCTCTCTCTCTCGCTCTCTCTCTCTCTCTCTCTCTCTCTCTCTCTCTCTTACATTGAACAACTTCTGCAGCATAGTGTTATTGTTCAGGACTCCAGTGATGACCGTACAAATCTGGTTCATAACCTGCGTCACGTTGAGATTGTTGCACCACTTCTTGTAGGCGGGGACGATCTGGATAAAGTTTAGGTATATACAGGTTCAAGCAAACTACATATTTCAAAACGCCTAAGCACAATCGGAAGGAACCGTATGCATAGTCCTTACCGACGAGTTATACAGTGGCTCCAGCGTCTCCTTGGCGCCACACGCCAACGCGGTGCCGATTTTGTCGATGTCGTAGCCTTTGGACTAAAAGGGTTTTTATCCAAAATCTCTCCTTAACTTACCTGGCACGTGCCCATCACCGCCGTGGCGTCACCCACAAGCTGCGCGCACAGCGCCGGCTCGTTGGCCATCGCGCACGACATTAGCGTGGGCAGGTTATCGCTGGTGTAGTTGATGAGCACTAAAAATATCAAGCGCTCAAGGAGTCGTTTTAAGGCATACTATTCCCAACTTCGCACATTGTCGGAGGGTTGCAGTTCTTGCGGGATTTGATGAAGGCGACGATCGCGGCGGGAGCGCCGGAAGCGAACTGGAAGAAAAGCTATCTGTTTCGTTCCCTCATTCCCTCTCTCTCTCTCTCTCTCTCTCTCTCTCTCTCTCATTCTCTGCTTACCACTCTCTCTCTCGCTCTCTCTCTATCTCTCTCTCTCGCTCCTGCTAGGTTGCTAGTTTCGTTTCTCTCTGCGTCGCTCTCACTACTGTAGCTCTCACTCCCCGGATCACACACGTTCTCTGTCGCTCTCTCCCGCTGTCTCCCGCTCTCTCCCGCTCTCTCCTGCTCTTTCCTGCTCTCTCTCTCTCTCTCTAGCTCTCTTCCTCTCTTCTTCTCTTTCCTTCTCCCTCTCTTTCTCCCTTTCCCCCACTCTATTTCGCTTCGCACTCTATCGCTCTTTATATCTCGCTCTCTATCTCTCACTCTCTCGCTCTCTCTCTAGCTCTCTCCCGCTCTCTAATGCTCTCTCATTCGCTCTCTCCCTCTCTCGCTCTCTATCTGATCAATTCGAAAACTCACACCCCACATTGTCTTCTTCGACACAAGTGGCTTTCCCAGGGCCTTCAGAATAGCGTCCATGGCAGCACCGCATTTCGTCGGAGGCGTATCCGATGGACAGTTGGCGGCTTGGCAAAGGGCCAGGAGTCCGGAGGCCAACAAAACTGTTGTGAGGAACCTCGCGTTCATACCTTGCAAATTTTAGCATTAAAGGACGGAGAAGTCAAAAGTTGCGTGGTCGGGGATAGAATCCCGTTGTCAAAAACTAATGGCGCCGTAGTGTAGCGTATTAAAAAAGTTAAAAAACTAGGTCCTGATAACCAGAAAGCATACTGTAGGTTTATAGAGTCCGAACATCGGTGGTCGCGCTGATGATCTGGGCTTTATACACCGGCGCTCTGACCCGATCATCCCCGAGCAGTCCAATTAAAACACGATATTTTGTAGTCCCCGGGCTGATGATCAGACTGCCCCTCGAGTGCATGGGAGAGCAGAACAATTTTTTTGCTCCCAAAAACCAACAAACGATCACGATGTGTTGTGGGAACAGAATACGGATTCGTTGAACTTGTGACAAGGTAAATTACCCACGTATTGCAAAGATCCTACCTTATATAATTTGGTCGCGTATCTCTGTGTGTGTCTGCGGAGGTCAGTTTCGAGGCCAGATTTGAGGCCCTTCCCGTGTCCAAAACGCCCCAATTCTCCGTAACTTGGGGGAATCGACCCTCCTCTTTCCGATGGCGTTCTCAGAATTTCGATAAAATACAAGTTTACAAAGTTAAAGCCGGTTTTATTCATTTTTGGGGGTTCAGGAGGGCTAATTTGCATAATGTGACAAAATACAAATTGCCTCATTCTTGCCAGTTGCACTCGCGAGTTTGGTGGGGCGGGGGGGTCCGCAGGACGGAGCTATCGGAGTCAAATTTTTCATGCAAAGGCCGCATTCCAGCGCCCAAGGCCCGCGAAGCGGGTTTTGGGCGCTGGTTTATGAATAATTAGATAGCTGAAAATCCCGAAAGCCATAATACCGACACGCTTAAAATCGACGAATTGAAAACCGAACATAAGGTGTTTCAATGCCGCATCTATTACGTAAAAACGATTCTAAAGTGGTTACTTTACATGTGTCCGCATCGTCAATTACCGTATTCTAGGCTTACGGATGTCGGCAACTTGTCCTGTTCCTAACTTGGGGTCGGGAGTTTCGTTGTCGGGTGTATCGCTATCGAGAATTTGACAGGAATGGTAGCAGGTCCGTCGCGGTCTTATATTTTCCAAAGAATCACAGGAGAATAGATGGCTTTCAGGAAAAACCAGTCGTTACAAGACACTTAGCAGACGCGTTGCGTGTTTTTGGAGACAACCAGCAAATGTTCCAGCATAAAAAAACGATATACGTCCGGAATGCGTCCCCAGGCTCTAAAAATCCCATCAATCGAGATACTGACTGGATAGATAAAAGTTTCGTACTAAAGTTTGTTCGGCACTATTTTTGATGGTCGTTTCGCTGCAAATTGAGTTGCGTATCGCAGATGCCCGTTTGGCCCCGGTTACGCCTTCAAAGTTAGCGTAAACCCCGGCAGCCACATTCAAGATTTTCGTGAAGTAGTCTTACATTTGTGCACTTCCCGAAGGAGATGCGTTCCAAAATTTGTTCGAGACACTCGTGGAGGTTTCGGGGTTAATGCTAACCTCAAACTTGGGTAATTAAACCGAAGCTTTCGTTGGCTGTCCGCTCTTACCATCTGCATTGAGTCCAGGTGAGCGACTTTTCCCCAGCGGCCACTTGCTGAAACAGTGTGATTTTCCAGGTTTCGAAAAATCATAGCGACCATACCCATCACACCAACCACACTTGCGTATCGCAGAAGCCCGTTTGGCCCCGGTTACGCCTTGGAAGGTAGCGTGAACCCCGGCACCGTACAGTTGCGTACAACGTCCATACGCGTTGCGTAACCACATTCAAGATTTTCGTGAAGTCGTCTTACATTCGCATTATTTGTGCACTTCCCGAAGGAAATGCCTTCCAAAATTTGTTCGAGACACTCGTGGAGGTCTCGGGGTTAATGCTAACCTCAAACTTGGGTAATTAAACCGAAGCTGTCGTTGGCTGGCCGCCCTTACCATCTGCCTTGAGCCCAGGTGAGCGACTTTTCCCTTGCGGCCACTTGCCGAAACAGTATGATTTTCCAAGTTTCGAAAAATCATAGCGACCATACCCATCCGGCTTCGTACCAAAGTTTGTTCGGAACTATTTTTGATGCTCGTTTAGCTGCAAATTGAGTTGCGTATTGCAGATGCCCGTTTGGCCCCGGTTACGCCTTGAAAGGTAACGTAAACCGCGGCACCGTACAGTTGCGTACAACGTCCATACGCGCTGCGTAGCCAGATTCAAGATTTTCGTGAAGTCGTCTTACATTCACATTATTTGTGCACTTCCCGAAGGAAATGCGTTCCAAAATTTGTTCGAGACACTCGCGGAGGTCTCGGAGTTAATGCTAACGTACAAAATCACGTACAACGTATAGCAAATGCGTCGCAATGACTAGAGGTTTTCAGCTTTTCCTAGAGCTTGAATTGCTCACCGATGATGCCTTACACAGAGTTTCCCGACTTTCGGCTTTTAACTAAATACTGCGTTTTGATTGTGGCTCCAAAAATCTCACAAATCCCCGTATCCAAAACAAACATTCCAGTCCCTCGATTCCAACTTCCAACGACTTTGTTTTCGCCTCCCCTCCGGGCTGCCATTATGTGTCCCCAACTCTTCAAAAGCCTCTGAAAAAAATTTCAAAGCGTCGGGCGGGGGCACAAAGTGAATCCGGCAGATTCCTCAACACGGACTCCCCGGTTGGAAGTAAGCATAAGAGTAAGAGAAAAAG